AGAGACCCAATACTTGTTTGTCACCTCAATGGTGTGTTCTATGTAAAGCGGATGGGGAGACTGGTTTTCACCTACTGGTGTCTTGCCACTTTGCGAGGTCAATTTGGGATTGGGCTTCCTCCTTATTTGGACGCAGTTGGATTCCCCCATCAGACTTGCAGGGCCTTTTCTCCCCCACCTTTTTCAGGTGGCAAATAAAAAGGGGAAGGATAATGTGGAGAGGACTAAGGGCTGCAGTATGTTGGACATTGTGGGAGGAAAGAAACTCTAGGATATTCTCAGAAATCCAAAGAGGAGCAACAGATCTGAAGGCTATCATACATATTAGGGCGGTACAGTGGCTGAAATATTTGAAACTATTCACAGATTACACTGTGGATGACATGTTGAGGAAGTGGGGTGAAATTGCAAATTGCACAGAGACCAAGTCAGTAATGAAAGTGGTTTGGACTACTCCCCCACCTAGAGGATTCTTGAAATTAAACTTTGATGGATGCGGTAGGGGAAATCCGGGGCAATCGGGGATTGGAGGTGTTTTTAGGGACGAAAATGGGGTCATCTCTGCCATGTTCTCAGGCTCAATTGGAGTGGGTGACTCCCTTAGAGCTGAGATCCTTGCAGTTATGGAAGGAGTCCGAAAAGCTAAGGAGTTGAACATCAAGAAACTCATAATTGAAGGGGATTCAGAGGTGGTGATAGGATGGCTGACTAAAGATCAAAAGGGTTTATGGAAGTATAACAATGCGAGGAGGAAATTCATGTGGTTGGTGCGGGAGATGGAAGTTAAGACATGTTGGGTTAAAAGATCGGCTAATTCCCTAGCTGATGGTTTAGCTAAACAAGGGGCAGAAAAGGATTCACTGTTTTGGGCTAAGCTGTAACTTTAGTGTATTCTGTATTCCTCTTGAAGAGTTAAAGAAGAGAAGGAAGAGCTTGCTACTGTGCTCTAACCTCTAAACAAGTCATCTACAGAGAAGTCCTTGAACAAATCCAATGATTTCCGCCAATGTATAGTCATGATGGTGATCCTTTCTACGAGTTTGTGTGCTGTTTTTTCTTGCCCTTGGAATATTCTATTATTTCTCTTTTCCCACACTGCCTAAATAATTGCTGCCATTGTTGTTCTCCATATCACCTTTTCTCTTTTCTTTGGTTGTCGGAAGAAGCCCACCTGCTCCTAAAGAGAGAGGAGAACCAATCCTTAATAAGATTAGTAGATGATTTAGTTTCTCTTCTACCCTGCTAGTCTCTTTGTGAATCTTTCTAAAATTGGGTACTAGAAACTTTTTGACTTTGGGTTTCCTCCCAGTAGTAAACCTAAGTATTTTAAAGGCCACTCACTTACCCCATAGCTTGAGGTACTAGAAACTTTTGTTCCAATTTACTCTCAAGTTAGAGACCCTTTTGAAACCTTCTACCATCACTTTCAGGTTAACCAACTCTTTTGGCTCTCCCTCACTAAAGTGTATTAAATCATTTGCAAATTGTAAATGAGACAATGAGTGACAATAACAGGTAAACTTTACCAAAAACAGCAAAATGGAAACATTACAAAATTGTTATAATCAAGATAGTACATGAATCTGTTTCTACAAGTACTTGAATATATATAACTGCTTCTTCTAACATGTCTACTGTATTAGTTTGCTGCAAGAAACAATTGCAAATTTCTGATATTTAAATTACAAAGCATTTCTAATTAACTATCAATATATTTACTGGCTTAGGTAGCATTGTTTGACAGAGTTTTAAATCTGAGTAGATCAAGTTCAATAACCCATCCTTTGAAAAATATGCGTCTCTTTTAGTAATGAACTATGGCTTACTTTGTCCTTGTTTGGCTCCAATTCTTGAAGCTTCCATATGCAATCACTGTTTCAGTCCTTTTGCACCTAATTTAGGGAAACAAATCAAAGAACACGTAAGTATTGATAAACAGAGCACCAGATTGCAACATTATACAACCTTACCTTCTCAGCAATGCTATGAGGATGGGTTGCACAGCCATGCTCAACCTAAACCCTGCAAGGAGCAGAATCTGTAAAATGACTCTCCATCTTCATATCAGAGAAAAAAGTGAAAAACTTGGAGCCCCTATGCTCTGTTCTCATTTTTAGAATAAAAGACCCAAAAACCAGTATTTTAAAGTGAGAGGCACAAGAAAAGCACAAAGGCCTTCTATTGCTTGAGGCACAAGGTGCAAGGCGAGGTGTTTATTAGGACAAAAAAATGAGGTGCAATTTTTTTATAATAGACACATTAATACCTAGAAAATATGAATTTTCAAAGAAATAAAATGTTTCAAAAAGCTTATTGGCTCAAATAAAAATGTGTAAGGAAACTAAGGATGGCATATAAAACATTTAAAGTGAAGGATGACACTCATAAAAAAGGGGATGACATATAAAACATTTAAAGTGAAGGTGAAAGTGAAAGCCAACAAACGTGGATTTTACTAAAGTGCTTCAAGCATTTAACAGTTCAAGTCTGTGAAACTCTGAATGTATTATATCTTCTAGTTGCAACACTTCAATTAGTGTGATGCTAGACATTGTACATTTCTAATCCTAGGAGGATTGGACCTTTATGTTGATTTCTCTTCAAGGCCCTTTGAGGGAAGTCCAAAGAAGCCCATCCAGGTTTTCAAGGGTAGTGTTATTGGCCCAAATGTTTTGCCCAAATAATATAAGAGGTCGGTTTTATGATTTTGGTTGTAGTTCATTCTATTTAGGGTTAGAGATTAGAGATCAGTCAAGGCCCTTTGGTTTTTTCTTTTTTTAAAAGTTAATAGAGCATTGCCAGTGCACAACACCAATAAAAAGGTAATTTGAAACTTTATTATCTAATTGTCAAAAACATAAGAATGAATAAAAAAGTGATGCTTTATTAACTTTTTAAACTTTTAAACACATAAGCAGCTCAATAAAAGTGACTCAACCAAAGCTTCAGCCTTCAGCCCTGAGGCCCTCCCAAACAAGCCCTTAATCCCTATTTTTTACATGCTTGGAAGTATTAGGCATCATTTGGATAAGCTTTGGCTTTTGAACTTTCAAAGTCCGCAGTTGAAAGTCTGTTTTTGGCTTTTATTTGGGACTTTTGGCTATAGAACCTGCTTGGTAAAATTTTCTTCTGAAGTATGCTTTTTGAGGTAAAAGCAAAGTATGCTTGTTTGGTAAGCACCAAAACGCTTTCTGGCTTTACACACATGGCACCACAGTATTGGCTCTAATAAAACTGTAGTATTAGCTCCAAAGGGGGTTCACAATGATATATTCAACAAGGAGCATTCAAATTAGACATTCAAACATGGGGAAATGATACATTCAAATAATATAATAGTCCATTATGACCATCTTCACATAACAATAAAATGATACATTCGCATTCAATAATACATTCAAATGATATAACAGTAACACAGTCTGTAACTGCAAAATGATACATTCAAATGATATAACAGTCCATTATCAACATCTTCACATATTCATTCAAATGATACATTCAATAATACAATCCATAACAGGGGAAAAACGATACATTCAGATGGGGTTTAACAGGGGAAAAATTATACATTTGATCATTGAAGAAGAGGTCGAATGGGGTTGTGGAATCTGTTACATTGAAATGGGGTTCAAACAGAGAATAGATTGAATGGGGACTGCATAGAGTAGAGGAGTCCATACACTGGACTTGTGGAAGATGGGGTTGCTGTATGCTGGACTTGTGGAAGAAGTCTATTTTACTATTAGGCTTGGAATAGAAGGGGTCAAGAGTTGAGAGTTGTTGCCCAAAAAGTCCAAGTCGAAAGGCTGAAGTGGCTTTTGCTTTCTGGACTTCAGCTTTCAAAAGAAGCCGCAACCAAGCAAAAAAAGCAGTGTTTATTTATTTATTGCTTTCAGACTTTTGAAAGCTGAAAGTTCGAAAGCAAAGTCTTATCCAAATGCTGCCTTAGTTTTTCCCTGCTTCTTACCTTGAATTGTTTGCATTGTGTTTCGATATTATTGTTGCTTTTGTAATGATTGATACGAGGATTCTTCACTGCATGATAAAGTGGTTGGTAACTGTTTTGTCTTTGCAGGAACATTTGTTGATTGTATGTGAACTTCTGAAGGCAAATTTGTATGAATTTCAAAAATTCAATCGAGAATCTGGGGGAGAGGTTTACTTCACAATGCCAAGGTTGCAGGTATGATGCTAGGTTTTAAAACTTGAAGCCCTATGTTTGCATGTTGCCCCTTTGTTTTGCTGGTGTATGATATATATGAGATTTCTTTTTTGTTCTTTTCATTCTGCAGTCAATTACCATTCAGTGTTTGGAGGCACTGCAGTTTTTGCATGGACTTGGTCTTATTCACTGTGATTTAAAGCCAGAAAACATTTTGGTTAAGAGCTACAGTAGGTGTGAGGTGAAAGTTATTGACCTTGGGAGCAGTTGTTTTGAAACAGATCATCTTTGCTCCTATGTCCAGTCTAGGTCATATCGTGCACCGGAAGTTATTTTGGGACTCCCATATGAAAAAAAAATTGATTTATGGTCACTTGGATGCATCTTGGCAGAACTTTGTACCGGAAATGTAAGTTGTACAGATATATGTTCTACATTTATTCTTCCACGTTTTTTTTTATGTTTCTGTGTGGATAACCTATGTTTGAAAATATGGTGATGCTTAATATTAATATTGTTACTTACCATTATTATTGTTATCATAAAAATTCCTTCTTATTCTTGTGTTCTTAGAGTTATACTGTCAGTAAACCATTTTCTAAGGAGCTGAAAAGTTTGTCCTTATTTTTGTTTCCCTGTTAAAATAAGAGACTGCTCATTGTTTTCTGGGCTATTTTTTTTTCCTTTAATAGCTTTTTTTGGTAAAACTCCTTTAATAGCTTTGTTGCATGTTCTGGAGCACTGTTGCTTGCTAAAGTTCAACCAACTTGCAAAAATTGATGTATTTTACACGTGTATAATGTTGAAATGTCACATGTTAGCACTGTATTCAGATGTTGTTTTGTTACTATTATCAAAGGAGAAACAGAAAAAACAGAAGAGAAAGAAAGGGAGAAGGGGAGAAGAGAAGAGAAGAGGGAGAAAAATTGATCGAGAGTCAAAAGATAGGCTGGCGGCTCCAGCCCTTATATTTAAATATAGCGACTTTACAAAAGAATGTAAAAAGACACTTGTACCCTTGCGGCACATAATGTAAGAAATACAATACTCCCCCTCAAGTTGGACCATTGATATCTATCATGCCTAACATGTCACAAAGGTCATTGTGCTGCAAGTGATGAAGTCCCTTTGTAAACACATCCGTGAGTTGCTCCTTGGAACTAACATACGGTCATGGTTCAAAGTATCGATACGATACGCCCTGTATCGGGCGTATCGTATCGTATCGTATCTTTTACAAATGATACGGTTCGAAACGCCTGTTTCCAGGTGATTCGGACCCCCATTTTTTTTATAATAAAAAACAACCTATAATCTTTCCAAAAAACCAAAGTTTGAAAAAAAAACTAAAAAAAAAGTGTTTCGGCCGTTTCTAAGAACCGATACGATACGGACGAAACTCGTATCGTATCGATACTTTGAACCTTGCATACGGTGTACACACTTCTCCACTATTGAGCTTTTCCCTAATAAAGTGTTTTTCCACTTCTATGTGCTTTGTTCTATCACGGGTACCAGATTGGCCACTATTCTAATGGTAGCTTCGTTATCATATTAAAGTGACATAGGCACACCAAACCCCAACTCACCTAACATGTTCTTTATCCATAGGATTTCTGCAACTCCATGGGACATGGCCCTATTCTCGGCCTCTACACTGGATTTGGCCACAACACCCTGCTTCTTACTCCCCCAAGTGACCAAATTACCTCCTACAAAGGTGCAATACTCATTAGTAGAAGATCAAAGTATCGGTATCGGGTATCGTATTAGACAACTCAAATATAGATACAAATGCATATATGCTTTGGCAACGCATGGATGTGAACGAAAGATATGGAAACACTTGGATACACTAGGGAAATGTATACAAATCACATAAATGCATTAATAACACTAAACCTAAAGCTGAATTATCTATGAGTAAGGTATAAACACATGAGAAATACACACTTGAATAGGTTTATATGAAGAGAAACATTATAATAAACAATATTGGGACTCTAGAGCATGTACACATCATGCAATAATCATCACTCTTTCAATTTTTATTAAATTTTTGGGAAAATTTGTTTATATAGTATTTTTAAATAAATAATAACTTGCAAGATGCCAACTAGCTGGTTGGTAAGGTCTCATGCTAGTGATAATGGTGAAACGGGATCGAATCCTGCTTGCACTTGGGTTGGGGGATGGGTTACCCCCGTTGTGTATCCCTTCAAAAGAAATTAAAAAAAAAATAATAACTATTTTTTCAAATAATAAATATATTTTCATTTTAACATATGATTGTTTTATTTTACATATAATTGTAAAATAAAACATATAAATCATTTCAGGTAGATAAAATAAATTACTTTATATTTTTCAGTTTTTATTAATTTTTGGGGTAATTAAATCTTAAATTATTCATTTCAGTTTTTATAATTCTAATTTTCTGTTTTATATTAATTTTGTTGGAAAATTTATTTACTTATTATTAACATGTAAATATGAGTAAAATAAAACATATAAATCATTTAAGGGAGATAAAACATATTACTTTTATAATATCAGTTTTTATTAAAATTTTGGGGAAAATTAAATATTAAAATATATATTTCAGTTTTTATAATTATAATTTTGAATTTTTATTAAGGTTAAAAAACAATCCAAAAGTAGTTAATTTGCAGTTTCATAAAACTGGGAACTGAAATGTTTCTGTATGGGTGAGTATCAGACCATATTCACTGATATGATGTGATACAACCCGATACGGAGGCATATCGTGCCATTACGCATGACTCGTGGGATACATACCAGTTGTGACATATCCCGTATCCATTACCATGGATGCCGATACGATACACCTCGTATTGGAAGTATTGTATCGATTCTTTAAACCTCATCAACTGATCCTACCTAGTTAGCATGTGTAAACTTCAAGCTTTATGTGACCATTTTTCTTGAACAACAACCCAGTTCTAGGATACTTCTTGAGGTATCTAAGTACCCTCTTTGCAACCTCTAGATGGAGTCTTGAGGGAATGCTTGAATTGGCTTAGAATTCCCACCACATAGGCAATATCAAGTTTGGTCATAGATAAGTACAATAGTCTTCCCACAAGTCTTTGATACTGCTATACATTGCATAAGTAGCAGCTGGCTTCGATCCCAACTTACCTGTATCCTCCAAAAGATCTAGATTCTAGAATATATTTTCTTTGGGAAAAGGAAGATACCTTCTTGAGAGTGGGCAACTTCAATTCCAAGGAAATAACAACAAGGAGCCAGATCTTTCACCTCAAATTGCATGGTCAAGAACTCTTTTATTCTTTGGATTTCTGAAGTTCACTCACCATTTATCACTGTCATCCACATACACTATCAAGACAACAATCTTTCCTTGCCCCTTCTTACACGGAATGTGTGGTCCGATTGGCACTTCTTAAACTCCATTTTCTGTATAGCTAGATGAAACCTACTGAACCATGCCCTTGGTGATTGTTTCAATCCATAGTCCATACAACGACTACTTTAACTTGCATATCTTCAACTCATTGCCTTGAACATTTGGACCATGTACACTTCTTCCTCTAAGGCTAAGTTTGGGAGTGCTTAAAAATAAGTGCTTATTTGAATAAGCACTTATTTTGGGCTAGGAGCACAACAATAAGCGCTTGTTTGCATTTGGGAAATAAGCCCAAATAAATGCTTATTTCATTTCTGGCTTGTCTTGGCCCGCTATGTCATTTTGAAAATACGTATATTACCCTTGTTTGAAATAAGTGCTTTTTCACCAAACGCTCATGAGCACTTATTAGTATAAACACTTGTTTTTCAAATAAGCACTTCCAAACTTGGCCTAAATCACCATTCAAGAAGGCATTTTTAATGTCTAACTCATGTAGATCCTAGTCCAAGTTCACTGCTAATGATAGTAGGACCTTGATAGAGTTCATCTTTGCTATTGGAGCAAAAGTCTTTGCATAGTCCATACACATTTTTTGATAGATTTTTTTTCCATGGGGCTACACAATGGGGGGTAGCCCATCCCTCCTCAAACCCATAACCCCCCCTCACCAATCCAGGTGCAAGTGGGATTTAGGAGACCTTGGCACCTTGCGCCCACTCCATATATTTGAGTAAACCCTTTTTCCACTAATCGGGCCTTATACCTCTACACTGCACCATCTGCCCCATGCTTTATTTACAACACTCTACTAGTAGAAGATCTGCCAATTCTCATATGCCATTCTTATTGTAAAGCATTAATTTCTTCTTTCATTGCATCTGTCCAAAGCCTCTACTACATTTCAATGAATAAGAATATTATCAATGGAAGAAAGAAGAGCACAAAAAGAAGGTGAAGCATTTTCATAAGAAACATAGTGTATAATGGGATGGTTGGTGGTGTAGGAAGGTCCAAATCATTAATTGTAGAGGTATGAATATCAAGGAGATCAGAAACATCGATAGGAGTAATTGTCTTTGGTTAAGCAAGATCTATCTTCGGGTATTCTGATAGTATTGGTTGCATGACTTTAGGCTGCTCTATGACTCTTGAACTCTATTGGCACTTGTTGCTAGGGGTGAGCATTTGGTTTATTCGGTTAAAACCGAACCGAACCAAATAAACTAAAATTTAAAAAACTGAATTAAAAAAATGAAAACTGAACTGAAACCGAATTATAATAAAACAAAAATAACCAAAACCAAAATTTTTGGTTATTTCGGTTTAAACCAAACTATGAAATCAAATTTCATTATATTATATATTAAATATTATATGTATATATATTGTATATTATGTATTACATGTTATATAGTAAAGTTGGGTTAATTCAGTTTTTTGGTTAACTTAATTTCTAATTCTAAAAACCGAAACCGGAACCGGAATATTAAAAAATGCTCACCCCTACTTGCGGCGAAGAAGGAAGGCACATGAGGGAGGAGGATTAGGAAGAGGAGGAAGAGGAAGCGGAACCTGTACTGGTTTCTCCTCAACCCTACTCTCCCCCTGAGGAGAAATAGGAAAGAGAGGCTCATTTTCAAAAAAGGACAAATTGATGGAAACTTAATACTTATAGGAGGTGGGATCAAAGCATCTTTAACCCTTTGGAGTGGAAGGGTAACTCAGGAAAACACAAGAAGTAGCCTTGTTATCAAGCTTACCACGAGTGGGTGACAAATCATGGACAAAACACCGAGCCCAAGCACACACATAGGGAATAGGAAACAACGGGGCTTTTTTTTTGATGGATAACTGATTACTTCATTGAATTTAAAAGAAAGCGTACAAGAGAAAGTGAGAGAGAGACAAGCTCTCTTATCTCTCCCCTTTAACTTTAGTTATAATTACAATTACATCTGTGCCCAAAATATTTGAACTCTCCCAACCCCTTGCTTGGCTAGTGCATCAGCCACCGAATTAGCTGTTCTTTTCACCCACTGTATTCTCAGTTCCATGTCCCTTGTGATCCATCTGAATTTTTTCTTCTCATTATTATATTTCCACATCCTACTTTACTCATCCAGTAGCCAAGCCACTACCAGTTTGGAATCCCCTTCAATGATTAGCTTTCTAGCATTTATGGTTCTAGCCCTTTGCACCCCTTCCATAACCGCCATTACTTCCTCTCTTAGTGAGTCTCCTTCACCTGCTGGGCCTGAGAATAATGCACACACTTTACCCTCCTCATCCCTGAATACACCTCCAATTCCTGACCTTCCTGGGTTTCCCATGCTACTTCCGTCAAAGTTAAGTTTTATAAATCCTCTTTCAGGAGGGGTCTAGATAGGAATAACAGGCTGCTTATTGACATTTGAGTCTGCCACTACCTTCCAGTTTCTAATGATATTGTCAAAGGATATATGTGAGAAGCTTCCTAAGGATTTCAGCCATTGAGCCACTCTAATCAGTATTGATTCAATCAAGGCCTCTTTTGTTCTTTCCTTTTCTCCAAAAATTCTTGCATTTCTTTCTTCCCACAGTACCCAGATTATTACCGCCCTAGCACTCTTCCACATGATGTTACCTATCTTCCTCGGCCATGGACAGGAAGTTGGATCAAAGAGACTTTTGATGTCAGCCGGATGTGTCCACCTGCATTCAAATAAGGAAAAAATCCATTCCCAAATGCCAGCAACAAAAGGACAAGTAATAAACAAATGAAAGCAAGTCTCACTATTCGCCTTACAAAGAACACACCAATGTGGGGAAAGGCACCACTTTTTCCTCTTCCTTTGTAGCCAGTCAAAAGTATTTATTCTTTCGTGTACAACTTCCCAACAAAAAACCACAATCCTAGGTGGGATAGGCTTGCACCATACCTCCTTAACAGGAAAAGATTGTGGGGGACTAAGGGGAGGTTGGGTTAAAACTTTGAAGGAGTTACAGGAAAACAGACCCGAAGAGGAAGGTGTCCAAATTCTTTTATCAGACTTATCAGGATCAAGGAAAGATCCTTCAAGGTTTTGGATTAAAGAGAGTAGTACACTATCAATTTCAGGATCATGGAAACAACGGGGCTTTAGGGAACAAGAGTTGATGTGGGGCCTTGGAATGTAGCAGCTGAGAGGGCATATGATTCATAACATAGGCAATAGAGATTACAATATACGTCTAAAAGCATTTGGGAACTTGCCCCAAGCAACTTCAAGGAGATGGCGGTTTTTTCTTCCGGCAATGCCATTTTGTTAAGGAGTCTTTGCACATGAGCTTCGGTGAAGGGATCCACATGAAGCAAAAAATTCAGCAAGGTCACCATGAAAGTACTCTTTCGCATTGTCAAACTAGAAGATTTGTATCTTAGTTTGGAATTGGTTAAATACCATACGTAGGAAATCTTTCACAAGTTTAGGTACTTCATCTCTCGAATGCATTAGGTAAACCCATGTGTAATAGGAATAATCATCAATGAGCATGATAAAATATTTGTAGCCACTTTCAGAAGGTAGAGTAACAAGGCCCCCTAACATTAGAATAATCAATATTCAATGGGAAAGCTAATCTTTTATTTCTTAAAGGAAAAAATCCTACAATGTTATTTTGTTGACATGTATGACACTGCAATTCAGTTGACATTGACTTCAAGAATTCTGGAAACAAACACTTTAACGTCTCAAAGGACATATGACTAAGACGATAATGCCACAAATTGACTCTTAAAGGACTGACTCGTAGACCTTGTAGCTTCAAGACCAATTTTATTCTCTATCCCATGTAGGCAACAAGTTAATAGGTAATTTTGGAACATTAAACACATTTGAAAGAAAGAAACCAAATGGCAGAGGGATAGATCTTTGACCAGCTATGGAATAGATTGAATCATTAGCTAGTCTCACTATTTCTCTACTAGAAAGAAGTGTATAGGATTGAAACAAAGTTGATTTACCAGTCATATATGATTAGAAGCTCTGGAATTAATAATCCAATGTGATTCCAAAGACTGGAAAGACACATGGAAAGCAGAGGCAGTGTTACTTGATGTAGACGCAAAGGAGATTTGAGGGGCTAGGGCCAGAGTCCACCTTCCACAGTCCTCTACCATACATTTCCAAATGATCACAGAAGGCACTGATAAACTCTTCCATGGGATCCGAACCAGAGGGACATTCCTGAGGCGTACTCATAGTAGAGCTATTTGCTTGTTTCTGGGAGGCCATATTTTTTGTAATATACTTCTTGGGAACAGGTTTCTTATTTTGCTTTGGTGCTGGTTTTTTATTTTACTCTTCAGCTCATTTTGGTTTTGCCAACTAGATCCCAACAACTGTCACGAGTATGTCTAGGTCTCTGGCAATGAGTGCACCATATCTTATCTTTCTCATCTCTTTCTTTTGAAAATACCCTTCCTCGTAGTAATCATACTTCCCTTTGTATCCAAGGGTATATGCTCCTCCTCAAGAGGATTCATTGCATTTCTCCTACTCTCCTCAAATTGGATCAATGCATACACCTCCTGGACAGAAGGAAGTTCCTTATTGCCCAAAATTTGGACCTGAATAGGTTCATATATTGGGTTCAATCCAAGCAAGAGGCAAACACACATTGCTGAGATACAAGCTTCTTGTAGGCCTTGTCATCCTTGTCACTTTCTCCTTCAACGTTCTGATAATAATCAAGTTCTTTCCAGATGGATGTGAGAGTGGAGTAATAAGTTGAAAGACTATGTTCCCCTTGCTTGCATGTAGAAGACTCTGTTTGAAACTGATAAATTCTGGCATAGTGTCTTTGTTCAAAGTAGGTAGATTTTGCTTGTTCCCAGATTTCATGGGCTGTATCTGCCCACATAAAATTCTGTATAATTGATGGCAGCATAGAAGTAGCCAAGACATGATTGGGAAATTTTCCTGGTTCCACTTATGCTCAGCAGTGCCCGACTTCGGCTCCTCCACTGTTCCATTTATGTAGCCACTTTTTCCGCTAGCTGTGATGTATTGGCCATGCTAGATTGTTCATACCATCAAGAGGGGTGATGGTCATAGGAAAATTCATATGATCTGAACCATTACCAAGCCTTCTTTGATTAGTAATTACACCTCAAGTAGCAGAATCATCTGATGCCATTGGAACTATGCTGTAACCACACTTATCACTTCAGTTCACACTGAGTTGGAATTACCCAAACGAAGCCACTTGAAAATTCAACTGAGCACTCCCACACTTTCCAGGGACACACTATTACCACTCTCACGCTTGGACAACAGCAACTTACCACAAACCAGACTGATCTCACTAAAACAGCAAAGCGTCACTGTTACTGCATAAATAAGATATCCTAGACCTCACGATTGCACATACCACACTGCACAGGGATCACACAATTCTGTGCATACATTACGTGTAAAGTATGCAGGTGGGACAATATAGCTTTGCAAAAATGGATTTTAATTTTAAACCTTGTTCTTCCTGGTGCAGGTTCTCTTCCAAAATGATTCACCTGCAACATTGCTTGCACGTGTAATTGGAATCATAGGCCCCATCGACCAAAGCATGCTTGCAAAGGGACGAGATGTATACAAATATTTCACCAAAAATCATATGCTTTATGAACGGAATCAGGTGACTTTTGTTCCCATCTTTTTCCAACATACTGTTTTTTGTTTCTCTTTAAAGTTTAACATTATTAGCATGGTTTTCAAGGCGCCAAGGCGAGGCTAGGCGACAGGAGGGCGCCTTCTTGCCTAGTTGCCTAGGCGATGGATTTTTTAAAGTACAAACATGTATCCTATGGTAGTTCCCTAGGTTCCATAATCATATTTCCTTAATAAATATCCATAATTTTCACAAGAAAAGTATAAACTTCATGTTAAAGTATAGAAAATCAACATAGTCCAACATATTCATGAGAAGAAAAAGAAGAAAGAAAAGAAAATAAAAAAAATATAGGGGCTGAAAGCCTATTTCTGTTATAGGAAAAGAAGAAAAGAAAAGGTGTAAGAAGAATATAAACACGCAAAATTAGTAAAGAAAAATAAGAAAATGTGTTGATTGGACAACATTTTATGTTCTTCCTTGCTTATTGGTTCAGGTTTTGAAGTCTTTGAGTGTTCAATACAGCATTTAGCAATGTTTGTGTTGATTAAACTCTAACAAATAAGAAAGCAATAAAAAGAAATTAGTATATAAACACACAAAATGAATATTTTAGTTTAAAAACGTCTATTTTATAATTATAACATCAAAAAATTAAGAACATAAAAGTTTTTTATAACACACTATAGGAAACTACTTGGTGGTTAGGCGAGGCGAGCCTTCAAGGGCGCCTTGTCGCCTAGGCGTCACCTTAACAACTATGATTATTAGTAATTGAGCTGGGTAACTATTTTTGGTGCATTTGGATGTATATCATTCTTTTGTCCTTCCCTGGTCTTTTTCTATTTCAAAGTTGGTAGGAAATAATATAGCATTTAACCAGATCATGCATCACTTTCAATTAATGTTCTATTGTGCCAAGAGAAATTACCTTTTTGGGTTCTGAAGCACTTTGAGACATAACTGTACCGTATATGCCCACTGCTAACTTGAGCAATATGTGGAAAGCACAAGAAGCAAGGAAACTTATTATTGGTTTCAGAGCGAAAGTGAAACTTGTGTTAAAGAAATATTGCTGCATTGCCAACTCCGGTGAAATACATCCTAGGTGCTTTCTAGCACTTTCTGCATGCTTGCTGTGTATACAGCTTGGCAAGTGTTGAGTGGCACTAGTTTAAGGGCACTTTTATCTTTCTTTAACTTATATTAGGGTAAATTTCTTAAAGTACCCCAAAGGTTTAGGAAATTGACTAACTCTATCCTTAGTTCCTTACTGTTTACATATTGTCTTAAAGTACTCTTAAGTTTTCTGACAATTCTCTAAAACCTCCCCAGCTGTTAACTTTCCGTTACACTCTGTCACATGTGATATCATGTGACTGATATGTTTTTCAAAAATTCCTAAAATACACTTTATCATCTTTTGCAGTGATTTTTGGGTTCCAATAAACCCTAACCCAATCTGTTCAGACGATTGTGAGAGAACTTGATAGCAGCAGTCCTGTTAGCCCCCCAGAAGACCAAAAATCTCATTCTCTCTCTTAACTCTGTTCTCTATATCTCTTGTCTCATTCCAGAAATCCATAACCAAACTTGACACCAAGCTTCTCCTCCGGTGCCAGACAACCGATTCCGGTTATTACACCGTCCAGCAATAAGAAAAAGAAAAACCAAATATTTACTCTTAGGCCACAAATGATCAAACCTTGGATTGCCATTGTATGCTTGACGACAAATCGAATTAGGTTTCTGCAAAGGCAAGCATAGCTGGGGGACTACCTATTGCAAACACCGGAGTTGGAAAAACCAACCCTTAAGCACTCCATTGAAACAAAGATTGCAATAGAGGCCCAGATAACGAGATGGTTTTTATAACCTTCTCCACTATATTGGAAGGTAGTTTAAGTAGAAATCTAGTAAGATTGTTGAAAGGTGGTTTGGGGGAGGCTTCCGGTTAGGGCGTTATGGGAAATGCCCAAAGAACTGAGTGATGTTGGTAAAAAATCTACGTCTCTTCTGTCTAGCTTGTAGGTTCTTAATTAATTTAAGAGAAAAAATTAAGATTTGAGAGGGAGAGAGTTTGCTTTTCAATCTTTTTCTTTTCTAGGTCTAAATATTATGTCAATGTCTGGTCGAGAATTGAATTTGGGGTAAATTGGACTACTTTGGGTAAGCTGGAAACAACATCTATTTGGCACTCGTCTGGCTGTTGTAGTCGGTTGTTCGGTGCTGGAGAAGAAGCTTGGAGTCCAAAGTTGGTTTTGAACTTCTGGAACAAGACAAGAGAAGCAGAGGGACCTGTTATGCCATGGTTGTTGGGGTTTGTAACAGGTAAGCTGTTTTATTTTGAAACATCCTGGTTGTTTTATTTTGAAAATTTGAGAAGTAATAGAGGGTATATTTGTCATTTTGCTTCTTTATGTCAATATTTAACGAGGATGGCAATTGTTAGAAAAGTTAGGGATAGTTTAAAAAATATGTAAATAGTAAGGGCAGAGTTAGTCAATTTCCTAAACTTTAGGGGTACTTTAAGAACTTTTCCCTTTATATTATACTATTAGGGGGTGATATTATAATTTTATATGTATCCTTACTATACAATGCTGATACTTGCCTTGGTTTCACATAATGCTGATGCTTAGTTTAGGTGGAAAAATTTTTGATAGAATTTCTCACATTACATAATTCACCCAATTAGACTAGTGATTGGGGCCTTTTATGTTTAGGTAAGCCTCCAATCATAAAATATGTGGCAGTGAGGGTGATGTGTGAACACTTGATGGGAAAGCTTTTATATCTATGTTTGACTTGCCTAGACATTTTTTATGTTGCTAGTGTTGTAAGTCAATATGTGCATCGTTCTCACCTATCTCATCTAGTAGCTGTTGGAAAGAAACTTTTGTTACTTAGAAGGTTCTCTTGGCAGAGGATAGTTACATATTCATTGGGGAATGGGGATGAAATTGAATTAAATCAAATTCGGATAAGAAACATAGGTGATTCAAATCTGACGGATATTCAGAATATCCCAATTTGATTTCGATTCAATTATATCATCAGATATCCAATTCGTATTCGACACTGTACTGTGAAAGAAGAGGAAGAAAAAATGAAAGGAAGAGAGGGATTTGGATGTTCATGTGTGGGTGTAAACTGATGAGTGATTGAGAAATGAGGATTTCAGTACCTCTGCATGAAATGGACTGGAAATGAGATTTCTCACCTCTCTTTATTACCGGCAGTGAGACAGCAACAAGTCAGCAAATCCAGAGATGGCGATAACCACTGGAGCATCCAAACTTCGGTTTAGGGTTTCTGTGTTTCTGCAGTTTCGCCAGTCACTGTTGGAAAGTTTCAGATGTGGCAAGAACAAAATAAAAAAGAGTTGGAGAAGTTGTTGATCAAATCATTTGATGGGTCAGAGAGAGAGAGATTGAAGTTGGTAGCTTACTGAAAAGGAGAGACAATCTTCTTAAACATTCTCCTCCATATCTTTCTGCCATTTCTGCTCTCCAACAGTTTCTCGGTCATCATCACAAGAATACCACTGTTTCTTTGAATATGGTTTGTTGGGGATGAGAACCTTTTGACGTGATTGCAATTTTGTTGGGTGCAGCAGAAAATTTTAAATGTGGCAATGCTGGCAACAATGAAATTTGAAAGAGTTGGAAAAGAGGGAATTCTGATTTCTGACCTATTTGATGACTTGTCAGTCATCAATGTCAAGGGCTGGATTATTTAGGACCATGTAGTTTCAATTTCATTTCAGAACTACAGTTGGTTTTATTTAGGACCATTTAGGTCCTACGGTTGGGTTGCTCCATTGTGACCTTGGTGACCAGGGTTCAAATCTTGGAAACAGATTGGGTTGGAATTGGACTTTAGTGAATTGAATCAAGGGATATCCGAATCTGGCACAAACGAATTGGACTAAAGTTTGAATTGGATCGATGTCCAATCCATTTAGATCCCTAATGTTCACCATGTATACTTAAAATTGAAGCCTATATACCATTGTGATTAGGCTTGTGGGTGACAGAAGGTCTACTTCAAGGCAATGTACATTTGTTGAATGAAACATGGTTTCTTGGGGAAGGAAACAATCCTGTGGTTAGATTGTGTGTGGAACCTGAATATGGCACATGGAGTTTCAGAATTGCCATGGCTGAACAAGAGTTGTCTTTGAAGGTCCTATGAAGTTGTTTTGTGACAACAAACAGTTATCAACTTTGCCAATAATCCTGTCCAGCATGATTGTATAAAACATATAGAAGCTGAAAAGGCATTTTATACATGAAAGAGTTGCCAGTGGAGAAATCTATTTGTGAGGTCATGTTACCAGCTTGCTGACTACTTGACCAAAGATGCTCCTCGACACAATGGAAAACAATCTATGCAAGTTAGGCATGCACAATATTTATGCCTAGCTTGAGGGGGAGTGTGAGTGGCACCAGTTTAAGGGCTTTTTACTAGTGGGGCTTGGGGGGGTGAAATTATAGCATAAATACTAATGAATGGTCAAACCCAATGTTTTGGGTCTCTTCAAACTTGTTTCTTCCTTTTGCTCCTTTTTCTTTCTTCACTTTCTAAACCTAGAATTTTCTTCAAGATAAGCTAACTGTAGTCTGTAGGTAACATAACTTTTATTGGCATCCATTCTTGACTTGGGTACGTTATGACCTTTGAACAAGTCATTGTACTTTCGGGGTTGTTCTTCCTAATATATCTAGTTTGCTTGGCTATGTCAAAATATTCAATAATAAAATGATTTATTTTTCCTTTTCATAAAAATTGTACTTCTGAAACATCTTTCTGGTGTTTCTGCTGAGAATGCTTTTCCCCTTTCTTTTCAGGAAACCAATAGACTGGAATATCTGATCCCTAAGAAGACATCTCTAAGGCACCGACTGCCAATGGGGGACCAAGGCTTCATTGATTTTGTTGCCCATCTCCTTGAAATAAATCCAAAGAAGCGACCCTCAGCATCGGAGGCTTTGAAGCACGCATGGCTCTCCTATCCATATGAACCCATCTCATCTTAGTCATTCAGGACAATTCTTGGAGGAGATGACGTGCTACAGATATCCCTGAGCTTGGGTGGTGTTTGGTGATCGAGGAGAAAGAGCATTCTCAGTTTAGCTGCAACCAGTCAATAGAGAAACCATTGGAAATATGCTTCACAAAGGATGCTGGCTCTGCAGTTCCTGCATTTCAAATGGGTGGCGGTCCATGGGAAGGTGTTGTTTGGCTTGTTTGACGGACTCTCCCACATTATCGAGTTGTATCCTAACTTGCTGTAACTTGATGTAATTTTTGCCTGCACCATTTCTTGGCTATTTTTTTTGCTTGCTTGCTCTGGTGGGAAGGGAATGTTGCTCCTGTTGTATATGATGTGATTATTCTTTTAAGGGTTCTTTGGTCATCTTTTTATGCAATAGCTGCCTGCTTATCAAATACTTGGTTGGCTTGAAACATGGGACTGATTGCGGTTGGGGGGTTGGTAGTGGGCCTATGCGTATGATCACTTTTTTTACATATAATTGGTGAATGTATTATAAACAGAGTTATGTAGACATGTACCAGAGGACGACCACAATTGAATCTTGTAACGTGAAGAAAATTGTCTTTTTTGGGGTCCAGCCCCATTCATGTTCAAAATTCACTGTTTTATTTTGTTTTCTTTTCATGTGGGAGTGGGACAGGAATGCGAGGGGGGATTAATGCCAATGTTTTGGTATTTCAGATTCAGTGCAACAGATGACTGTTTGATGTTTCCTTATACCGGGTTTATGTTAGGGTTGTGGGGGATATGGTAACTGGACCTCATGGTTGGAAATTGGAATACAACAGAAAAACCGATTTTTTATTTTTTTTGGCTAGATACATAAAAACCGATTTACATGCCTTTCCAATTTGCCCTGGTTGTTTCCTTTTGCTGGAATTTGAAATTTAGTTAAACAAGAGAATTTCTGCGTATGTACATGGGACTATGGCCTATGAGGATGAAGACAGATATAGTGAAAGCTAGGACCCACATACCACTACCGTGTATTGGGAACTTCCCATGGGTAGAGATGTGGGAACTGGGAATAACTTGTGGGTAGCAGATTCGAGCCCAAATTTGGGACCATCCCTTGGTCCTCAGAGCCCAAAAAGCTCATTGCCTTCCAATAAATATTCTTTACCTTTTTTTTTTCTTGTTTAAATGAAACAAGTACTATATTTTGTTATCGTTTTAAACCTAGTCAAATCAGATTCCCATCCCTATCTAACGACCATGTTAAGATCTTACAATTGCCCACAGCTTAAGGACAATTGTTGGACTCAGGGTCCATTCAGTCCCTATTATCTTCGAATTCAAATCAACCCCCCACAAGATTGTTCCCCCACAATGTCCCACAGTACATTCCTGTCGTGTATTGGAAATATCTCTCAATGATGACATCATCATTTTTGGGATTATCATTGGGAGATATTCCCAATACATGGCAGGGATGTGTTGTGGGACATTATGGGGGGCTGATTTGGTCTCATTATCTCCAGTCTGTACTGAAAAGGGCGACTGAGTTTGAGGGTTCTCCTTCTCCTTGGTTGTATTAGCACTTGTCACAATAGCTTAGTAGGGGGCATTTGACAATGGCTGAAGTTGCTGATCTGAATTACATTCTATATTTTTTTTCTAGATAAAGGCTATTAACCAACATTGTGTCCTAACTTTTGTCATTTTTTTGCACAAAGGTACCATTCTCAGATCCGAACCTGTATTTTCACACTTTGACAGCCCAAGATTTTTCCATTACGCTAAGTAATAAAAAATGTATAATAATCAACCACTTTGTTAATAACAAAGAAATAAAGAAAGTCAGTTAATTCAGCCACTTCAGCTGTTACCAAATCTAATCCAATGGTCTCTTATTCCTACGCTCCCTTGAACATTGTGCACTTACCTCTTCCTTCACATTTAATCCACTAAATGGGGGAAAAATACTATTTAACTACATACCAACCACACTTTAGCCCACATTATATTTATATCACTTTGTAACTAATTGTATGGGATTTAGGGAAGATATTTAAAATATATAAAGTCAAAATCTGCACCAACTAGGACCCACCATCTCGCCTGTTCTGATTAGGTCAAAACTCTTTCTCTATTAGATGATCAGTCTTGAGTAGAAAACCCTACAGACCACAGTCCAGACAAACCCCTCTTGATCTAACGGCCAGGATAATCCCATCTTATTTGAAATTCCACATACCCAATTCATCATATTGGTGAACCCGTTACATGGTCAAAAATCTAAAGTCTAGGATTTTGATTCAGTGAGGAAAAGCCTACGTGATGGTGCAATTCTCTATTAACATTGGCATCTACTCAAAAAACCCAGGGCTAAGAACTATAATCAATTTGATCAAGTAGTCCAGTATCCAAAGCTCATCATAGTCCGGATCTCCTCTGGACAAAAAACCGTGCCTAGCATAGAGTTTAGATCTGCGCCCCATAAGGGGCACCCCACTATGTCCAACAGTGTATCATCCTTGCTGTGTATTGTGAATATCGTCCATTGATATTATTAGAATCGATGATATCATCATATGTTTCTACTACACGGCGAGGATATGCTGTGGGGCGCAGATGTGAAGTCATTAGCATAATCCGCGTGCTCACATTTTATACATGGTGGGCCCCAGTTTTATGATGAGATGTGCGGATACGGATGATGTTGGAACGTGTTGTAGTGGTTTTTCATTTTTTGTTGGGGGAAATCTCAATACAAGACAAACTAGACAAGTAGACAGACTACCAGGTGCGTTTAAGTTCGACCCGAGTTCTAACCACACACTTCCCAACTAGTCATTCATGGCGAGATGTACCCGGTGCGCGGCTGCAATGGCACTGAAGGGACGTTGTTGGGACCAGATCCGACTCGTCTGTCTCTTTCAGTTAAAACGTAAACCAGTTTGAGGAGGGTGGATTTGGAATTCGGTGCGCGAATTTTCAGATTCCGTTATTTGGGGTTTCTTTTCGACCGTGAAATTTGGAAAAATGAGGAGAAATCAGAAAGGCCAGTGAATTCCTCGCCAGAGTGTTAATCATTTCATTTCCACGGAATCGAGGGAGAATCGAAATTCAAATCCATTCACCTCCGGAAATCCAAATGCAGCCTAATCTGTAATCTCTCCTCACATTAGTAATAAGAACACGTTGTAAAGAGTTGTCAAAAGGATAAAAGAGGAAGCAGATCTGCTGATTGTTCTTCGTCTCTGTTCTCTTCTTCTCTCTTCTTTCTCGCGTCGGAAGACGAGAAAATGGAGAAGGTAATGGCATCTTCTCTCCTCGTTGCTCTACTGTTTTTCTGTTGGGGGAATCAGGTGAGATCGGATGCGTCCGATCATCGCTACAAGGCTGGAGATCCGGTGCCCCTTTACGCCAACAAGGTTGGCCCGTTTCACAACCCCAGGTGAGTCGATCAGCTTTCTGTTTACTTCTGTTTCTAAGATGATTTTGAGCTGATTTTGGTGCTTGTGCTTGATTTCTCTTCGTCCTTGTGCTGTTGGTTGTTGACTTTTCGGTTCTGGGGATTTTTCTGGGATTTATAGGGTTTTGGAGGATTTGGTGTCTTGATTTCCTTGTTTTGCTCAAGATTTTACTTTGCGAAATGTGAATTGCTGTGTGGATTATAAATTTCTGGGTGCTCAAATTGGATCTGAATTCGTTGTCGGTGACTGTTAACTCAAATGGCGTTTACATGAGTGGCCTTTCGGTTCATTTAGTATAATGTTAGATTTTTGTTCTGTCAGTACAGGGACTCGGAATCTGGGCAATGTGAATGGAGGAGTTCCGATTTGTTTAGTTAGATATGATTCAGAATGTGATATAGTTTCGGAAGATATTAAATGTCTTGATAGAATTTTTGGGTTGCTAGGATCTTGTTTGTTGTTTACTGTTGCCAGTTTTTCGTGAGATAGGTCTGATCCTATTGTTGGTGTTATTGGTTTCAGCGAAACATACCGCTACTTTGATCTTCCCTTCTGTTCACCAGGTTTGCATTCTTCATTTGTATTTTTTTTTTTAATTTCTTTCCTCTCTGTTCGTTTTTCCATATGGGAGTTCATTGTATTTCCTGGATCCTTATTACAGCTCATGTCACTGAGAAAAAAGAAGCTCTTGGTGAAGTTCTGAATGGGGATCGTTTGGTCAGTGCGCCTTACAAACTTGATTTCCTTTCTGAGAAAGACTCTGAACTTGTTTGCAAAAAGAAGTTGTCGACGGGAGAAGTTGCTCAATTCCGTAAGGCAGTTATCAACGATTACTACTTCCAGATGTACTATGATGATTTGCCGATCTGGGGTTTTATTGGGAAGGTTGACAAGGAAGGCAAAACTGATCCCAGCGAGTACAAGTATTTTCTTTATAAGCATATTCATTTTGACATCCTTTACAACAAAGACCGTGTCATTGAGATCAATGTTCGAACGGATCCCAATGCATTGGTGGATCTGACCGAGGATAAGGAGACTGAAGTGGAGTTCATGTACAGTGTGAAATGGAAGGAAACCGATACTCCTTTTGAGAAGAGGATGGAAAAATACTCTCAGTCATCCTCCCTGCCTCATCACCTGGAAATCCATTGGTTCTCAATTATAAATTCATGTGTTACAGTTCTCCTCCTAACAGGGTTTCTTGCCACTATTCTTATGCGAGTCCTTAAGAATGATTTTGTCAAGTAAGATACATTTTTCAAGTTGCAGTTCTGCATAGATATATGTACATGCTCTACTTGGGATCTGCTATATGCGATCCTTACTGTGTTACTGTTCTAATTTATGTTGATCTATAAAAGGTATGCACATGATGAGGAAGCAGTTGACGACCAAGAAGAGACCGGATGGAAGTACATCCATGGTGATGTTTTCAGGTACCCAAAGAACAAGTCTTTGTTCGCTGCAGCCCTTGGTTCTGGCACCCAACTTTTTACACTGTAAGTTCCTCATTGAGCATGATTTATCTATGAAATTATATAGTTTGATGTGGTTTTTTTATTCCAATTGTCGAGTTTATCTAAGTCTAATTACCTTGTTTGACTACATTGGTTCCAGTACGGTGTTCATATTTATTCTTTCCCTAGTTGGGGTATTTTATCCATACAATAGAGGAGCTTTATTCACTGCACTGGTTGTCATATATGCTCTTACATCTGGGATTGCTGGGTATACTGCCACCTCTTTCTATTGTCAGCTTGAAGGAACAAATTGGGTATGGTAATCATTGATTTTCTCTGCAAGTATTTTTTTTTGGTGTTTTGAGCTGTATGTTCGTCAATCTGATGATGTTTCATCAACTTTTGTTTTGACAGGTAAGAAATCTGTTACTAACAGGATGCCTTTTCTGTGGACCCCTGTTCCTCACCTTCTGCTTCCTTAATACTGTTGCAATAGTTTATAGTGCCACTGCAGCACTGCCTTTTGGCACAATTGTGGTTATAGTTCTTATCTGGACATTAGTGACATCACCTCTGCTTGTGTTGGGTGGAATTGCCGGTAAGAACAGCAAGGCTGAGTTCCAAGCTCCTTGCCGCACCACAAAGTATCCCAGAGAGATTCCACCATTGCCTTGGTACCGAGGGACTCTTCCTCAGATGGCAATGGCAGGGTTTTTGCCTTTCAGTGCTATCTATATTGAACTTTACTACATATTTGCCAGTGTGTGGGGTCACAGGATTTACACCATTTACAGCATCCTCTTTATTGTTTTCATTATTCTTTTGATTGTCACTGCCTTCATCACTGTTGCATTGACATACTTTCAACTTGCTGCGGAAGACCACGAGTGGTGGTGGAGGTATGCAATTTCTTCCCAATGTTCAGTAGTATCTTTTATAGACTTTTATCATGACAACCAAAAGACATATGTTTTCAAGTTTTGGTTTTGGTTTTGTAAGTTTTCATTTTGTTATTGTGATGTATATCTGACAATAGCAAATTCTTCAATAATTTTCAGTGTTACATTTCTTGTCATATGTATTAATGTTATCATTTAGCTTATAAATTTGAAGTTTTGTAAGGTTCTTTGTTGTCTTGTAGGATCTAAACAATTGTTATGGTTTCTCTTTTTCCTTACTATTTTTTCGTGTTCTTGAATTCAAAAATTGCAATTTGTTATGATTTTATGGTTCTTTTTGATGTATTTGTCATGATTTTATGATAAACCATTTGCTTAGTATATTTTTTTTTGAAAGGTAAAACCATTCATTTAGTATATTTTTTTGAAAGGTAAAACCATTTGTTTAGTATCCATACAGAGATAGAAGGAATTTAAGTACCACTTCTCTCTCCCCCCCCTCTCTACTCCTTTCTAGTAAACTAGATCTGAAATTCTGTATTCTTTCTTTACCTCTTGTTTATACCCAAAGACTTTCTCTTTCTCATCCTACATCAGAGATTATTAGTTTTTTAACTACTTTATTCCTATAATTAGTTAATTTGGGATTAGTGTTTTTTTTTTTTTTAATTTCTCTTGAATTATGTGCAAGACAAATCTTAAATTATTTTTATGATCAGTAACGCTTTAAAAATTTAATAAATTTGCTCCATGGAGTTCTCTGTTAAGTCATTCTGTCCAAAACTTCCCTTTTGCTTTGTGTGGTGGTAGGGGTGCAACTTGGGTTGGTCAAAATTAACATTTTACATTGTTTCACGCTTTGGGTTTTCCAGTTGGGCTCGTTCAAATTTTGAAAAAAAGCCCAACCTGAGCCCACCCAAGTTGCACCCCTAGGTGGTGGTCCCCAATGGCTTCATATCAGATAATTGATGAAACAAGGGGTTGCATTGAACAATCTAAAATTTATTTTCTGTGACAGTTATTGAACCAGAAGATCACCTTTTTCTTCACTGCAGTTTTGCCTCCAAGCTGTGGACAGGGGTTTTAGGTTTATTTGGGGAACAGAGATGCTTTCCAGAAATAATAAAGGAATTTCTGGAAGTGTTGCAGATTGGGGGCTTGAGTAGGAGTGGCAACCAAGGTTTAGAATATCAACACAATACACTCGATACAGGGCGTATCATATTGGTATCTGATGGCATGGGTGTAATGGCATGTTGCTGTTGAGGACCTATGGCGGCGGTTATCCGTTATCACTGCTAAAAGTTTTGATTGGCAGTATATATCAATGAATTGCTATATATTCATTGAAACCTTTGATAGTTTTCAATAGGCTGTCCCAACAGTTTGGACAACTGAAATATCCAATTACACCACTGGTCCAAATTTGTTAGATCTATGGATTTTCCCAAGAAATTGGAAAAATCCAAAAACTATAAAAGAATAATTTTTTATATGTTATTATAAATGATTTTCATTGCAGGAAAGAACTATACTATGAATCTATCAATTATCTATTGAACCCATTGATTTAAGAGTAATGTTTCTGCCCAGAAAGGCGAAATAAGTTTTTTAAAAATTTAAATGACTTCACATGTGCCTTTTCATTGATTGGGGGGGGGGGTATGTTCAAGTGCAGTGGGGTTAGCCCACAGGGTATATTTAAGTTTTATTTTTTGAAAAACTCAGGGTACGCTTAAGTCAATTTATGAAAACTCAGGGTATGTTTAAGTCTTTTGTGCTTTATTTTACATATATTAAATAATTTTTATGGTAAGAGAGAACTATAAGATGGATATCAATGATCTATCACATTCATCGATCTAACAATGATGTGTCTTGTAATGATTTTTAGTAGATTGAAAGCTCAAAAATTGAAGAATGTATTATTAGTAAAGTTTTTGTATGATATCTACTTGTTCCACACTCCCGGTATTGTTGATTGCAATGTATCTCTTCATTATTAAAATGTGCATTTTGTGTATGTATATACCTTATTTATAGTTATGTTAACCTTAAATTTAGTGTTATTGATGTATTTGTGGGATTTGTAAGAGTTTTCCTAATGTATCTAAGTGTATTTCTATTTTTCCACCATATCCATGTGTGTCCGTATCCAAGCTTCCCAAGATGATACACGTTGCTGATATTTTGAACCTTGGTGGCAAGCTAAGTATGGAAACTACCTACTGTGGTTTTGGGCAATCTTGGAGGGAGAGGAATGCCTGTATCTTTTAAAACAAGCTTAGTGAAGAGACTTTGATAGCCAACAAAATAATAGAAATGCTACTGTCTTGGGCAGCCATATATATTTCTTTCTTTTTTTGTTTTTTTTGATTCAGACTTTTTGTTTCTATAAGAAAGATAATGTGATACATACATTCTCACAACTTTTTGTAACTTTTTAATTTACAGTCCCTTGTTGTACATGGGCATTTTTCTTTATTTATAAATACAATACCAATTTTCAAAAAAAAAGAAAAAACTTATTAATATCTGTGATAGGCTGATAGCTCTCAATTTATTCTAAAATCTCATCTACAAGTGCAAGGTTTAAGATTAGTTCAGAGTTCTAAACTATTTATTGGGTCCTTTCTGATGATTTTGAAGTATTACAGTTGATGTTTTGCCATTTTGATTCTTCATTGCAGTTTCTAAGCACATCCATTATGTTGAGAAGTGTCTCTCCTGATTGCTTGGAACATCTCATAAATTGTCAATGGGGTTTTGTTTTTATTGTAGCTATTTTTACATGTAGATTTTTCTGTGTGAGGTTGGGACATTGGCTTTTTTCCCCTTGTTTCATGATTGTCATTTTCCATTTTGTGTTACATGAATTCTCTTCAATAAGGGAGCTTTTGGGTGATGTCTAAATGGATTTATGCCTTGGTTTGTCACAGGTCATTTCTATGTGGAGGTTCAACAGGTTTATTTATCTATGGCTACTGCTTGTATTACTATTATGCCCGATCAGATATGTCTGGTTTCATGCAAACTTCGTTCTTCTTTGGGTACATGGCTTGCATCTGCTATGGCTTCTTCCTCATGCTTGGGACTGTAGGTTTTCGTGCCTCCTTGCTTTTTGTCCGTCACATATATCGGTCCATTAAGTGTGAGTAGAGGGTTGATCTACTATCAGAATCATCAGGTATGTTTCTTCCTATTTCTATAGCCTTTGTCACTGGAACAGTTGTATGTTTTTTGTTAAAAAAAGTAGATGAAAGATCACCTTTTATCTGTGAAACCAGAAGCAGGGTTTGTGAGAAGGTCCTGTTTTCTCGTAATGGGATGGAGATTTAAGTAATACTGTTACACGGGGCAGTGTTGCACATAGCGAGAATGTTGGGCAGTGTCACTAATCTGAGAAGATACTGACGGGACTTGGAAAGAAGATTGTATCATTGTATGTACCTGCACTTCCTGGAAAACAAAGTTTCTCCCATCATTTATAGTTCTTGGTCCAGCATTCACAAATGACCCTTTTTCTTTTTTTAGATTTTTGTAGAATAGAGCTGCACAATGTTTGATTCCTCCCTGTTCGCAATTTGCAGGCATTTTGGGGAACCAAAACCTTACATAGTTAAATTTGGAAACTTTTAATATTGATTATTAATAATTGTTTGTCTCAAGGCTCCGGAATGTTAGAAACTTGTTTTAATGTGATTTTTTTTAATTCAATTTATTTTATATTTGGTATAATAGGGGGTTGGGGGGGGGGCGGTTGAATTGTTTGGTGCTTATTATTTGTTCTATGGACATGCAGACATCCATTTTCTACATTAATTTCTACTATTAGTGGGTTATGATCCGTGTTACAGAAAGTCAAATTTGAAAGTAGGGCCTGATTGCTGGTTTGCACAGAAGTTCCTTCTTCCTGTAGGCCATTTTCGGTAGTGGTGGCAGGGCAGTCGCAGGTTTACAAGATTCTGTCATCAAACCATCAAGGGATACTACGGTATCTGAAACAAATTTATTTTTGGATATCTATCTCTAATAAGGCCTCCACTCCACTTCCATTAGGCCCAGGATCTGGTGCTGGCCTCACCAATGGCAATGATCCTGATCCGTTTAAAATACCCCACTGGAAGTTGCAGCACATGCATGATTCTAGGAGAAATGAAGGGAAAAGCCATTGTGGTTTGTGGATGAGTTCACATCTGCGCCCCGGGAGATGTTCCCAATGCACGCTGAGATGTGCATGTGGGGCGCAGATGTGAATTCATTGTGGGTCTCATGCAACCAGCCATATAGATTATTGACCTTCCATTTTCCTTCGATTTTCATTCCTTTCCAAGCCTCCCATAAAATCACAAACAAACAAACAAACAGTCAAGCCAAACTGTATCTGACTGATTTGTACGAGACCTTTCTATATGAAACCACCTAAGGAGACGCGCTCCAAATTGAATTGGACCTGTGGATTGGCGCACTCTTTATTCTACTAAAGGAGATCCAGAAGAAGGATATCTTTGAAGGCATATGCTTCTTCCTCCAAAGTCCAAACATGCTTGACCCAGTTCACCTCCCGACCCAACTCCCAAGCTGATCTAACAATAATAAAGGAACCATTCGGGTTTAGGGTCCAAACAGCCCGGTCCGGTCTATTAGAGAGCACCACACCTTAGCATCTACTAGTAATAAGTATAAAAAACATCAGGGATATATTATAAGTGCAACTCTAATTTCCAAATTCCATCCGAAGATATAACCTGGTTTAACATTAGATTGATATCCACAAACACAACCTTCAATAGTAGACAACAAATTGATCAAGGGACCACAACTACACGGCAACCATTTATCAAGCCAAAAATGAGATGTTTCCCTCTCCCCTACATACCCACCACCCATATCATATTATCGACCAGATCAATCATCAGTTCACCTTCAAGGTTTTACAACTAAGTTTTCGTAACAAACCCATTACTGAGGAAAGCCTTGTAAAATGTTTGTCAATGATTTTATAACAAAAATTTCCTAAAGTGATAGGTCAAAAATCAGAACAATTCTCAACACAAACGTCCTCTAATGATTTCCCAACAATTCACAATAGAAGTTTTCAGTAAAGCCGTCCGATCCTAGAGCACTGTAGTTTGAAGTGCCCCGGTAGAGGTGAAGTGAAGACCAACTTTGATTTGATGCATTGAGGAAAGGGAGGGAATAGATGGTGTGCAAATGCAATTGAAGTGGTAGCAAGGGATAGGTGAGGGTAAGGTGTTGTTTGTTGTTTGCAAGGATGTCAGTTTGTGTTCAATCAACAATTCAATTTCAACATGATGGAAGTGTGAGCAGCGCTAGAGGCTCAATCTGTTGCAATGAAGTTTAGTGTTTAGACAAAACGATAGGAAATCCTTTCGGGAGATAGGAAACAAATATTCTATTACTCAGTATCAAAAAATATTCAAGAAACCTTTCAGATTTGTTGTGAGATCTCTCCTTCTTTGGTATGGATCTTTTCTTGTGATTTATGAGTGGCCTAAGACCACTGCTGTTATTAGTAATGATGGTATGTTGAATATTATTTGAATACCAGAAGTCCCTTAGCTTGGAGAGACAAACAACCTCCATTGCCGCTGTTCTGCTTCTCACCACTGCTCATATCCAGACAAGAACTTTCCATTACCATTCTGGTTCTCTCTCTCTCTGACCTCCATTGTCGTCCTGTTTCTCACCTCCATCGTCACTATCAATCATTTGCTCTGCAACTATCTCCATTGCCGATCTCTCAAAGGGAAGTTGAACTGAGATTACTACGGGAGCTTCATACAGGTAAGTAGTTGCCCCTGTTCTTCCTTGGTTTTCATTGAGCATGTTCGTTCGATTTTATAGTTCAAAATAATTTATGTTCATATATGTTTGTAGGACTGGTTAGCTAATCCCCGTTGGACTATGTTTTGTTTGACCGTGTTTGTATCCTTCCTCTATTCTTATACGTTGGACTGAATCTCTGTTTCACATGAAAACTATATAATATATTAAACGGCCTTCAAAAAAAAATTAAACAATAAATTAGTTATTATCACTAACCATGGACCAGTGCTGAATGAAATCGATATTAACCCGATTGACTAATAGCAATAAAACCACGATGGTAACAACTACAACTGATTTATTGGAGGAATCATATCTCTTGAACAAAGGCAATCGGGTATCTACCCCCAAAAACAAGTAAAAAAGAAAAAAAAAAATCAAAACAAACACACAAAGAAAAAGAAATATATAGTTACAGTTTCAGAGACAAGATCATGATTCTAAATTTGATTTCTACGAAGAAATAGTCCGACACCTTGAAATTTTGTTTGAATGATAACCTGGTTAGTCACATGATTCCAAGGAAAACAGTAAATCCATCTGAAAAATCCCACATCTATAGGTCATTATATCTCTTCATCAAGCTCCACCGTCAAATCATGGTGCCCAAAAATGGAGGCAGAAAGAACTATTTTGCGCTGTGGGAGCTTACTGATCTTATCTAACTCCTCCCCCGTCAGAGACCAATCGAAGATCTGGAGGTTTTCCTTCATCCTCTCCTTGCTAAAAGTCTTGAATACCATGCTCACCTCTTGCTCAAGAATCCATCTTAGAGAGACCTGCAAGTTGCGGAACAAGATACCTCCGGATCAATTAATTGGATCATAATACAGATGCCATATCAATGGTTTCAGAATGAACATTCAAATGTAAAATTTATTATGGTAGATGATGCACAGCACCTGAGCAGTTGTCTTCCCCCTAGCCTTAGCAATCTCTTCCAATACATTACACCCTACAACTCTGTTATCTCCCCATTTAGTTCCATTTGCACCCAAAGGAGAGTAAGCAGTGACATGGATCCCCTTTGCCTTGCAGTACTCTCTTAGTTTCTTCTGTTGCCAAAGTGGGTTCATCTCCACCTTCCCAAAATAAATAATATTCTTAGATGTCATGGATCACCATGCATGTTTTAACATCACCATCATCATGCTTACTTGGACAAGAATTGGCATCAGCCCTTTTAGCTGGTGTTCGACAAAGTGATTGATATTGTTTTTGAATTCAAAAGCAGCTGCCATGTCAGCAAAACATTACAATTTTGCTGATGTGGCAATTGTTTTTGTTTTCAAAAACAAAACCAACCATGAGAACTCCTTACTTTAAACCATACCAATTTTAAGGATAGTTTTTTTTTTCCCCTAAAATCCCTTGCTATGAATAAAACATAAGATTAATTTGCTTGCTGTTTACTTCTTTAATTAAAGTATTAAACATTTGAAGCTTTAGACAATGAGCATCATTTATGGAGAACTCCACTTAAGAACCAATTTTCAGAGAACTAGACCAGGCATTGACCTGGAAAAGGGAGAGGTTCACCTAGAGTCGAACCATGATTATATTCTGTTATAACATTTTTTTTATCTTATTTTATATTATAATGTAATGTAATATATTATATAATATTATATATCATATATCATATATAATATATTATATAAGATGCATAATTATATACATAATAACATTATTTATATGCATACATTCAAAATAAATAATTATTTTCTTTTGTAGCATATATATATTAGTTTCAATTTTTTTATAAATTAAGATTTGAGGCACAAAAAGACTTTTTTTTCAAAAAATAGTGGAGCAAGGCACCTTTGGTTTCTTGGAAACACGTAGATCTTGAAAACTTACCCAAGATAAAATAGTTCACCCCAATCATACATTTGAGCACAAAATTATGGCCTTTAAAAGTTTTCATTTATGTGCTAAAAAATTTCAAAAACCTGGCCAGTTTTCTAAAACCTGGATCGGGTCAATGGTTTTCTGGTTCGACCATTTGGATTAGCGGTTTTGACCAATTTTTAACCCAATGTGGCTTTGGGGGTATGGCTGAATTGTCCAGGGGCTCAGGTCTCGGTTCAGTGGTCCAATCGACCGGTCAAGTCCAATTTTCTAAACACTGGTATGGACAGAAAATAATAGGGCTTATTAGTATTATTAATCACATTAATATGGGCTGGGATTATATCCTGCCTACACCGGGGTTGCGAGTTGTGGATTTGGGGAATGGACTACCCCCGTTGTATAGCCAATGTAGCAAAAAGAAAAAAAAAATGAAAAACTTATAATGTTGTGTAAAAGGGCTAATTCATATCTCTAGCCTCCAACCATTGTTCATGGGAAAGTATTTATCATAAATTTCTTGTATTACGTTGAAAATTTCATTTTAAGGAATAATTTTTATAGGAAAATTTAAACTTTGAACAGCTAATTTAGCTTAGACAAGGCTCAAATGCAACGTATAAAGTTGACAGACAAAAAGAGTGGTGGATGCATGGTCAACCTGGAGTACTCCGTTTTTATGATGGGAAGTTTAAACCAATACATGGTTCCCTGTTGCAAAATTAAAGCAGATATACATTCTAGATAAATAACTTGTTGATGATCTAGTAGTTAGGGATGGTCACTCGGAATCAATCTAACAAAAGTGCATGATCAACACTGCATAATGAGAAAAAGCAACTCTAACCCTTGGAGCATGCTTCTCTCTTGATCCCTACCTCACTTAATACCATGTGATCTAATTTTGTTAACGAGTTCAAATTATATTCATTTATTATAACAATAAGGATACAATGAAGTAAATTGTGATTTCATCGTTCATTAGTGCCCAATATTTAATTAAATTGTTCAATAACTGCAAAGTTCCATTCAAACATATTTCATGCACCGACACCTAAACATCATGCATATATACTAGTTAGGACCCGTGCAATGCATAAATTTTGTTAAGTGAAATTGAAGTTAAAGGAGCTCATGAAATTATGAAGAAGTATGGATTTGTCCAATGCAAATTTCTGATTTTAACTGCAGAGCTATAAATATTCAAAAGGTCAATAATCCACATTTTACGCACCAACACCCACCCGTGAATTGGCATCAATTCCGAGCTGGCACCTACCCCAACAGTACTTTGAGCTTACAAATTCCAACCCTGGGCTGATTGGTCATTCTCCCATGAAATTAAAGAATAGATGTAATATGGGTCAAACTGATCCTGAGCTACCCAATACTGATGAGTGGCTCAATTAGTATGATCGCTGGCTTAGGGGATGGGCTACCCCCATTAATGAAGCAAAAAAAAATAAAAGATCCAGGGTTGGTGTATTAACAATTTTGAAAGCTACTCATGCTCGGCCTGGCCTGCACCCCATGTCTAATAATTTTTATTTGGGCTTGGGACATGAACAAGTTTGACCGTGTTAATTATAAAATTATGTTTTTTTTTATAAATTAAAGTTTTGTGTAATTTTAATTAATTATAAAAAAATATATATAAAAAGTTTTTATCTACATATTAATATATTGTACCATATATCTATATAAAATTTGTTATTTAAATATTATAAATAATATTTATTAATATGTATATAACTTCCAAGTCAAGCTTAAAGGTTATTTAATTTGGGCTCAGCCTGTATTATGTGTAGGTTTGATGTAGACCTAAATTGGGCCTAACCTAGAAGAAAATAGTTGCTTAAATGACTAAACCCTGAAATTTGTAGGTTTGGCTGGGCTAGTCTAGGTCATAAATGAGCATGTAAGTGTCTATATAGATTTCTAGTTTGAGACCTGTTGGTGCGTGGGCTTTGTTAAATGATATTGAAACAAAAAAGAGCCCCTATGTCCAACCCAAGCATAAATTTAAGTGTTATGCCCAGGCCTAACCTTAAAATTTGTGGGCCTGATGCAGGCCTAGGCTTGACTCGGGCTGAAAAGATCACCTCTAAACAAAGTGTGTTTGGTTTATTATTCATTTTTCAAAGAAAAAGAAAAATTCAAAAAAAAAAAAAACTGAATGAATTTTAAGCAATTTAATGGAGTAATTGAGAGGAGAGAAAGAATTAATGGAGAGAGTTAATGACATGATTAATGAAGAGAGATATTCTAAAGTAGTTACGGAGAAAGAGAAGAGAGGGTTAATGGTGAATTAATGAGGAGAGATAAAAGTCTTAAAGGTGATTGACTAATTAAGTTATTTAAAAAAAAAATTCAAAAAAACCACAAAATAGATAAAGTGTAGGGGAGAAAGGATAGGCATGGACATGGGGCAGCTAATTTGAACTATTTCATGTTTTTTATTTCAAAATCTCATGTATTTAGTTTAACGCCCATTGTCTATATAAAATGTTAGTATTTTCATTTCTTTATTTGGTAGATTTTTTATTTGATTTAACAAAGTTATCCCACTTCATCTAGAAAAACCAGGACACACCATTTACTGTTTCATCTGAGATTCACTACTTATGCTTATATAATAAATTTGATTTGGTTTTATTTTTTTTTAAATTTAAAAATCAGGTTAGGTTTAATTAGTGATTGACAACCTATTTCATCTAAGGGTAAAATATTAAAACCTCCTAAGTTTCTAACAATCATAATAACCTCTATGAGGTTTCACTTTAACGAAAACCTCCCTTGTACGTAGTTAGAGGTATAAATTGGGTCATGCTGCGGTATGACATGATTGTATGAGTTGTGCCGGGCTTGGGGTTTTAGGTTGGCGGGCCAGGCCAGCACGACCCGCACTATCGTATTGTGTGGCCCGTAGCCTGTAGGCTGGCACGGCCCAACTCGGCCCATATATATAAAATATTTTTATATTTATATATATAATATTATATAAATTATAATTATATAATAATATATACTCTATAATATATTAATAAAATAAACAATTATTTTCAATTTTATTTAACTATTGTATATATAAGCAATTATATACATCAAAATTCATATAAAATTAAAATTTTAAGTTTTTTTTCAAATTTTTAAATAAATAGCTTTGGCCCGATCCATGGCCTGGCCTGGCCCAAGGCTTGGCCCATAGACCAGCTTGGTCTGGCCCACACACGAGTTGTGCTGTGTCGGCCCAGCATAACCCATTTTACACCTCAACTTGTAGTTTCACAAAAGCCTATTACCTTCCTTCCATCTTTGTTTATGAAATTACCCTTAGAACTTATTAGGGCATTTCAATATAATTCAAAATGCCGATTTGCCCTTCTAAACTTCACTAGGCCTAACATTTTCATCACAGAACAATTACTTTTCAATTTGACTTGGGGAATTTTTTTAATTAAAAGTGGAAAGTTCTTTTGGGGTATTTTAGTAAATTTTTATCTGAATTGATAGATATAAGGATAAAACGAATATTTTTGAAAAAACTAATGCATTAGGCCAATGTTTTCCATCCAAGACAGGTCACTACATGTTTTTTCAATATTATAGGGGAAGTTTTTATGATCAAGGGAGGTCTTTATATTTTACCCTTCATCTAAAAATTGGGATCCACACCATATAAACCCTTTATAATGATATGATTAATGAAGAGAGATAATCTAAAGGGATTAATGTGAAAGAAGAGGGAGAGAGAGAGAGAGAGTTAACGAGGAGATATGAGTTATTAGCTAGAGAGTTAATGGCATGATTAATGAAGAGAGATAATCTAAAGGAATTAACAAGAAAGAGAAGGGAAAATTAATGGAGAGTTAATGAGGAGAGATGAAAGCCTTAAAAATAAGGGAAATTGTCTAAAGCTCTCTATGAATTTTTAGCATCTCTTAAATTCACCACAATTTTTCAAAATGTCTAAAACGCACAATGTCACTAACTTGATGTTAAACATACTAATGGGTGTTAATATATTACCATTTTAACCTTCATAGAAAAATTTAAAACATGTACAAAATAAATTAATGGGTGTTAATATATTACCATTTCAATATTTAGACATGAAAGAAAGGAAAAAGTTGAAAAATATTTTCAAATATAAAATACATAAAAAACATAGAAATTACTAAAAATATAAAAAATTATAGAAACTGCAAACAAAATAAAAAACTATTTTCGAATTATAGAAACTATAGAAATTGAAAACAAAATCAAAAAATAAAAATTGTAGAAAAACACCAAAAGTTATAGAAAAACACAGAAATTACAAATAAATAACAAAAAATATAGGAAAATTTATAGATTGTAGAAAATAGAAAATGTAAAAAAACAGAAATTATAAAAAACACTGAAAATTATAACAAAACACTAAAAATGCAAAAAACCAGAAAATTGAAAACCGAAAAGACCATTTTTCCTCTAACTCGCAATTCAAGGGTAAATTGGTCATGAAAATTGTTATTTATGCTGACATGGACACCCTTGCCATTCAAAGGTAACTTTAAAAGCATCTACACCATGGTTTTCAAAACTGAACTGAACCGGATGGTCGGACCGAAAAACTGGGAACTGGTCAGGTAACCGGTTTTGGTTTTCCCCAAAACCAGAAATTTGCCCAAAACCGTTGATTTTGGTCAGCAAACCGCTGACCCAGGTGATTAACCGTTCAAACTGGTAACCGGACCCCTGACCGGTTCGGTGTCGGGGTAGTTTTTAAAAACCATGATGTATACTATACCCAGTTAAGTGGGGGAAAGTGACGACTTACTTGATTGACGGCGGGAGGGATATTTGCAAAGGCGAGGATCTCATGGAGCTTCTTACAAGAGAAGTTGCTAATACCAATTGATTTTGTAAGGCCAAGTGCCTGACACTGTTCCATACCTTCCCACACAGATTTGAGATCAAGTGGAAGGATATGCTCTTTCTGAATTATTGGCAATTGACGTACCTCTTGACTCAATCTTAAGGGCCAATGTATGAGGAAAAGATCAACGTACTCTAATTTGAGATTCCTGCAGATACGCATACATACATACATACAAGATTAATTAAGAATATTAAGGCATGGATCGAGGAAGCACGTACGTAGTAGTGTTGTGATCATCATGAGTTCACGGGATAAGACTGTTACGTACCCAAGACTCAATTTGAGGGCAGGAACAACGAGGTTGCGCTCGGCGAAGCTGCACCAAAGCTTGGTTGAGATGAAGAGCTCACTTCGGGATTTGATTAGCCCAAGGCGTAGGGCTTCTGCGATGGCTTCGCCAAGAGGTTTCTCCGACCGGTATGCAAAAGCAGTATCAAAGTGTCGATAACCAACCCTGATTGCATCAACCACTGCTGATTTTATGGTTTCATCGTCGACAGGGGGATATGCTGTAGTTCCCATGCCCACGATGGGCATGGCCTTGTCTCCTACAGCACTCAACGAAACCTCTGGAATAACATCTTCCATTTCCATCTCTCTCTCAGTCTCTCTACTCTCTAGATCTCTCTCTCTCTCTATATGCTTTAATTATATGTGTGTTTTATCTACTTTATCTAAGCAATTAACACATATATAGACTTCAGATTCAGCGTTGGCCTATTATATTACATTGCGGTCTTTCTCTGCTGCAGTTGAGCTTTGAAAAATGACAAATTGTTAATTTAGTTTTGAAATTTTGACTCGTATAAGTCTATGACACTCTAATGACTACGGATTCGGTGGAGCCGGATACTGTGCATCTGGACCCGAAGGGATGATGGATCTTCCTTTCGGGTTACCGTTTACGTACCGGCTTCCCCTAAGAGAAAAACTCCCGTATGCTCTTGATTTCCCAATAATGTTCTGAGAATTAATGACGACTGGTTACAGAAAGCACTAATCAGGCACCAAAAAAGTAAAAACAAAAACCAAGAATCAATTGTTGGCCACTCATGTGAAGATTGTTTGATCGATGGCACTAATGGTTTGTGATATCTCATAATTATAAAAACCTCTCCTGAGTTTTCACCTTAATAAAATCATACAAAATATGCAAAAAGCGAATTCGGATCTGCTCCTCACACCAGATTTTATATCACGTTTCAGTGTGCATCCGAAACATTTCCCCACAAATAAAAATTTCCAATTATGGAGATGTTTCATATACACCACCGAAAAGCATATCTGAACTCGTAAAAAGCTTCATTTCCTTGCTTTTCCTGACAAAAAAAGATGGTGCCATGCATTAAATTAATACTTTAAAATGCCACTTTTACCCATCATATATGTATATATAGTTGGAGAAGGCTTGGGCCCAGTCCAAAAAGTAAAAAATATCAACTTTGGGGCCTAAGCCCAGCCCATGAATAGAAAATCTAAGGCCAGCTTATGTAAAATTGTGGGCTTGACTGGTTTGGGCTCAGGTTGGACCAATCTAAGTTGCAACCCTAATTTTGTAAATTTGCACTAGCACAAATGCATGGGAGTGCAAATGTCAAAAATACAAATTGTTGTCTAATTTTGTATTGGATTTTACTTTGCTTTGCTTTATGGCTTAACTTACTTCATTTGTACTGCAACCAAACAAAATAAGGTAGAGTTTGAAACAAAAATAGGTCAGAATTTACATTCAAATCATTTACATTGTCATGGTTTTGCATCAGTGCAAGTTTATTTGCATTGCAGCCAAATGCAACATAAGGAGAAGTGATCAAGTAGCAGAGTAAAGAAAAGGCAAGGTGGTTAAAAACTCCAACATCACAAAAACCTTATAGGTTTATTGTTAATTTTTTATAAATTAATAAAAATGTTGATTTTATCAAGGTTTTAAAACCGTTATTAACCCGAATGGTCAGACCATTTAACCCAAAAACTGGCCAGGGTACCAATTCCGTTTCAGCCCCAAACCGTTAGTTTCCCAAAAATTATTGAAGTGGTTAATGATCTGCTAGCCCAGGTGGTCGAACCATCTACCTGTTTGACCAATTCCGACTATTATTGATAAAAAAATGAAAGTAGGAAACCGTGGCAATTTCTCTTTTGACATGCTGGATGTTGGTCATAAATTCCAAAGAAAATCGCTTTCAGTCCAAAAGCAGCAACCCCCAATTAAATGTGAACACACCATTAGTTGGAGAATAAATATGCTGATCAGTTGATTTGATGTTGAATTTATTAATTACAGAATAGGAAAATCGCTTTATTAAACGAGAACAATGTGAGCAACCCCAGATTAATAAATGTGAACAACCATTAATTGGAATAAATCTGCTGATCAGTTGATTTGGAGTTTACATCTGCGCCCCACTACGGGGCTCCCACAACGTTTGACAGCACATTCCCGTTGTGTCAATGATGATATCATTATTAACTCGTTGATTTGATCTTGAATTCTTTATCAATACCCTGGGGATTGTCTTAAGTCGGTCCCCGAATTTTGTTGTACCTGAATTTTCAGAATGTGTTTAATAGGTTTATGTCGTTAATAGCCGGTCGATAAATTCAGAATGTGTCTGAATTTTCAGACACTGTTCATTACCTTCAATGTCTTGGACGGGGAAATGTTATTGATTGCCACATCGTAGCTTTTCCTGACTTTCCGATAATGGCGGGTAGGTTTGTTGCATCTTTTGGTCCTTGCCGATGATGCCTGTTTCATGGAGACCGTTAAGGGTCCAGCCATCCATCTCTTCAATTTCACCGAGGCCATCAGCATCAGTCGACGCTCGCCTGAGAAGACCTTCAAGATTCTGGACCTCCATGACGCCCTGTCCGACCTCCTGTCGGACGTCGACTCTGTATTTGGGTCGAAGTCATCCAAAGTCCGTACGCGTGCAGGCTGCTGAGATTCTTTCGAATTTGAGAATGCTGTGCAGGAGCTGTCCAAGGTCCGGTTCCCAGTGGCACAGTTCACCTGTTGACAAGGTACGTGATGAACTATATCATTCTAATCGCTGATTACGAGCAAACCCTGGTACAACTTATCGTTTCCAAGCTGTCAACCGGCCGGCTCAAGATACTCCGGGGACCCCACAACACCTGATATGGAGAGCGAGCACAGGCCACACTTGGTGATATTCATTGCCATTCCCACATTGCAACAACTCACTGGGATCAACATCATCATGTTTTATCCTCTGGTGCTCTTCAAGACCATCAGGTTTGGATCTGATGCATTTCTTATGTCGGAATGCCCAATCCGACCAAACCGACTAATCCGGACCGACCCAATCCGAGTTGGCCGGGTTTTCATCGGTACCGGTCAGTTTCGGTTTTCTTATGTGAAAATCGAAACCAATCCGACACGAACCGAACTAGTCTTTTACTATTTCGGTAGTTCCTAGTTTGAGTAGTTTTCTACTTAATTATAACTAGTTTTTTACTAGAACTAGGAGGCCTATTAGGCAATTATAATTAGAATAGGCAATCTATCATAGTTTTTAACTTTCTATAGTCTTTTACACCAAATAAGCAACTCATTAGGCAATTACAATTAGAATTCAATTAGGTGTTCTTTTGTATAGGAGCAAAACCGAAACCGACCCAACCCGACTCAAACCGACCAGGTCGGTTTGACCTATCAGTGGGTTGGTTTTGGTTTTCACCTCAAGTAACCCGACCAGGTTGGGTCGGTTGGGAAAATCCCAATAAACCGACCCAACCCGACCTGTGAACACCCCTACTTTTAAGGTAAAATATAAAAGTTTTAAGTGGCATCTAAGGACCTATTAGACACGTTTTGAAAGTTTGAGCATTGCAGAGAAATATTTTGAAGGAAAAGGTTTGAAAAACTATATAAGATTTGTAAAGATTTCCATTTTCATGCCTTTTTTTCCTTTTCTTACTTTTTTCCTTCAAACCAAACGCAACCTAAAATTCAGAGTACTGATCAATAATTTTTTCAATAAGAAAAGTAGATGATTAAAATTTAATAAATTTTAATAAATTGCTTAAATTTTTTAACAAGGATTTTGATGGAGAGAGTTTTGTCCGAATCGGCTCCTATAGCTAAATTTCTCTCTCTCTTCGGAGTTCTCATGATTTACAGATTTACTTGATTACAGTTGTTTATTTTCATATGATAAAACTGAAACACATCTTACACGTAAATCGGTAGAAGTATATCAGAAACATTGAGGTTGTGTTTGATTTGAAGGAAAAGGCTGTGTTTCGTACTTTTTGACTGTGATGAATTACCAAATCAACGATCTCTGTCGAGTGCAATCTTGAGTTTTCTTACTTCAAGATCAAGACCTTAACCCAGTCCGGGTTTAGTTAGCCCAAAACCTTAGCCCAACCCCGATCTCTGTCGAGTTCAATCTTGAGTTTTCAGGTCCTGGCCCAGCCCAAAACCTTAAAATCCAGATCCAACCACTCCAAAAGATTGGCTGGCTGGCCCTGCCAACTTGCAGCCTATGCCCACAGCTTGGCTGTTGGAAGAAACATCCTGGGCTGTTTTGAAGCTTCCGGTACATGACAGTTATCTTATTTTATTTATCTTTTTAATTAAAAATATTAATTATAATTACTCTTTTATCCTACAGCCTAAGTTGTTTTTCTCAAACAGTCAAGCCTTTGCCTGCAAATAATGCCAATTTTGGGGGTGTTCTTTTTTTGGATTTTAAGAGGGGGGAAGGTTGGTCAATAGGATTTTGGTTCCCATTGACCAAGAATCCTATTTTTATTTTTCAGATTAATGTAAAGATCAGGGAAAGTTTATTTTTCTGGATGATACCCATCTTCTAGGTGGATAAATAACTTTCCCACCTAAGAGGAAGGTTGCTAACACATGAATGGGACAAAAATGCCCTTTTAATAATAGATTTTTATGACTAAAATGATCATTATATTATTTACCTGAGAAATAAAAGAACATGAATAAATACACTTACCCGGATAAATATTTCCCAGGAAAAACTTAACCAGATAATTGTATTTACTTACCAAAAAGCAAATGGGGTCTCGATGTTTAAAAGTCATCTAAGGTCAATCGAGATTTTTTTTTATTCTAAATATTGACACCAAGCATACTCGTATAAGAGTCATGTGTATATCTACTGAATCTCTGTGTGTAGCACTCAGGTTACGCTAGTGTTCTGCATACATGGGATCCACATTCATATGCATGCAATCACAGTTACAAAACACTAGCGTGTTTACTCATGATTGGATACATTCTACATACATACAATGTGTATACTTGTGATTGGATATATAATCTCCTACACACAGTGGTGCGAGCAGAAAACCCCAAGTGGAGCTGTTTACATCTCTACACCCGAATCCGGATTAGCTAAACTTGGTGGCTTTGTGAGGGGCTGTTCAACAAGTACTAATGCCCTATGTCAGCAGCCATCAAGTGTACACATGCAAATCAGAAGGGCTGGGTTGAGTTTTAAGGTCAACTAAGGCCCAATCCTACATATTTGGCCTAAGGCCAAAGCCTAAACCGGGTCCAAGGCTAAACCTGATCTTTCCAGGCCCAATGCGAACCAAAAATTGACACTCAGGTTGGTCAATTGTGCTCAAATAGGCTTTTTAGGCCCAATGTATTAAAAAGTTGCACAGTCTTAGTATCATTAATTAGAACTTTTAAGTTGAAACATGTATATTTTGTGCTTACGCATACACACATACACATGTATCTTTTCTCTTTGCCAAAAAAAAAAAATTGTATTTATGCATATTGTAGTTGATCCAAGCTCGGATTGACCTATAGTTGGGCTGTGTTTAGGCTGGCCTTGGGCTACTTAGGAGCTAGGCCGAGCTCAGCCCAAAAATAAGAAAGCTTAAGTTTTCGGGCCAAAATCGAGCATGACGACTGAAAATCCAAGGCCACCTTGTGCAAAAATGTGGGTTGAATCTGTCTGAGCTCAGGTTCAACCTGCCCAAGTTGCACCACTACTCAAGTGCATTTTCCAAACAGGGTACAAACAACCGAGCAAGATTAGCTGAACGAGATGGCTGTTGAGCGGGCTGTGGAACCAATGGTAAGGTTCCACACCAGTAATAAAATACATGAGACCCACACCTTTCATAGTGAAAACCCATGAATTTGTTACCGGTGTATTGGTTCTACAGCCCGTTGAACATCCATTGCGTTCAGCTAATCCGAATTCAAAACACCCACCCCAATATCTCACTTCACATGCATGGCTGAACTGAAGATGTATTACTGGTTAAACTGCCTCTAGCACAGCCACCAAGTGCATCTAATCTGGATTCCCCATGAAAAATTGAAGTCAAATCCAAACAAGGAGAAGGCCTAAGTTCCTCCCTTTGATTTTTTCAAATTCTAACTGATTTGGACTCCCTCAGTGCTCATTATATATTTATGGTTCTCATCTTCTTTCCCTCTCCTAAGCATCTAAGCTCTCTCTAGTCCCTCCCCCAGCTTTCTTTTAGGTTATGTTTGGTTTGAAGGAAAAGGTAGGGAAATGAAGGAAATCTTATACAAAATTTCTAAAGGTTTTCATACCTTTTCTTTCCTTTACCTATTTTTTCCTTCAAACCAAACACAGCCTTAACAACTTCTATTTCTAATGGCTGCAGAACAAGAAAAACTTTTGCTTGGCAAACAATTTAAAAATCTGCCGGTCTAGAAGACGACAGCAACCTATTCGAGTGGAGCATCACGATCATGGGGTCTTCAGACACACCTTACGAAGGAGGCTACTTCAATGTCATAATGAAATTCACATCGGATTACTCAAACAGTTCTCCCATGGTGAAGTTTGGTTCAGAGATGTGGCATGCTTCGAATGTTTACCCCGACGGTTGTGTCTGCATATCGATCCTCCATCCTCCTGGGAAAGTGGGAAGGACCCCATGGCTATGAGTTCAAGAGTAAGCATTGGACGCCGGTGCATACAATGGAGATCAAGGTTTAAAGTATTGATACGTATCATGTCAATGGCTTTTTGATATGTCCCTTCAAGGGTTGTATTGAGTTAGACACTGGTTCAAAAGGTAATCAAGCCTTAAATTGATTCATCTAAATTGATTTAAAAAAAAATAAATAAAACATAAAAGAAATACCGATACAGGCCGATACGCCCTACTGATACTTTGAATCTTGGTGAAAACCATTAGTCTGAGTATTATTTCGATGCTGTCGAGTCCCTATGATGAATCTCCTGTGAATGTTGGTGCTGCCATAAAATGGAGGGACTAAAGGGATGAGTTCAACAAGAAAGTTCAAGAAGCATTCTGTATTGGGGTTTCAATTTGATACACACTCACACAAACCAATTTTGATGTCAAGAGTGAGGTCTGAGGCTGATATATTCTCTTTAGGTTGATAATTAATAATTAATTTTCCTAAATCCTGTTTGGGTAGTATCATGGAAACTGGAACAATAAGTTTTCTGTCATTCATGATGATTCAGTCTTCTATTTTTATTGTTATTTATTTTTATTTTGTAATGATGAAGTAGTGTAAGAGTAGCATCCAAATAATGGTAGAAAACCAATAAAAATTATTCCTATTTTTTTTTCTATGCTTTTGTTTTGTTTTTTTTTTACTCTTATAACCAGTCAAAATCCATTAAGCAATGCTCAGATACAACTTAAGAGAACACAAAACAGTGATAAAGGCCAAACATACAACTATATCAAAGATGGAGAATTAAAAAGATAGCAGATCAAATAGCTAAAAAAAATTGTAAAACTGGACACGAGCGAGAAGATAACTTGTGAAAGCTATGCAAACGGGATTAAATTTCTGAAAACACCAAAGAGGAGGAGGGATATCTATCTCCAACATAGATTGACTCTCAAATAACGAATCTCCCCAAACTGAAAATCAAGAAAACTAGCTTCCAAAAATAGTCTTGGAATACCAAGATGGGCTGAAGACGAGCCTAATTCCACAAATGCCAACCCATGAAAAACTATCTCACCCGCCATAGTTTCAAAGACCCAAAACCATCACTATCCATCAAATACCATCCCCGCCCCATCCCCAAAGCTTTGAGTTTTCCTGAATCTTGATCAATGGTCAAAAAACCTGCCCCAACCGGGGAGGGGTGGGGGGAGCTCCACACGAACGGGCCAAATTGCCATCTTTACATAAAATCTTTCATATCGGATCTATGAAGAAACAAAGGGATGATCATGACAGGAGACCTTCCCCTCCCTTTCCAATTCACACATTATAGATTTTAGATAAATGCAGAATATAACTTTTTTCCTTTAGGCAATGTTTGGTTTGAAGGAAAAGGTAGGGAAAGGAAGGGAAAGACGGGGAAACCTATACAAGGTTTGTGAAGTTTTGCTTACCTTTCCCTACCTTTTCTTTCAAACCAAACATAACCTTAATTTCCTGTACCACTCAGCTTTGATTTCCCCTCCCTTTAATTTCCTTTAATTCACAAATTATATATACGTACATACATAATACCACAACTGAAAGAATGTGGTTTATTTGGGCAAATGTTCTAACTTATATAATCACTCAAAATATTTAAATTGGATGTTTATTAGTCATTACATTAGGGTTTACACACAAATGCACATACATAAACAAAAGAAGAAAAAGCAATAAAAAAGTTACAAAAATTAAATAAAAGTTCAGCTACATGTATACAAATTAAAGTAAAATTATTCTCAACGATCTACTCCATGAATGACAATATTGCTAACGCAAGTGATCCTTCCTGTTGCTTCAGCTAAAAGGCTTCATAACATGGTCTGAGGCTGTTGAAAATCGTAGAAATTACTACAAGAGAGGCACCTCCAGCACTTACTGCTCAGCATGTGAAAAGTAGGTTCTCTAGGAATTGTTAAAGGCCTCTTTGACCTGCAAAAAGTAAAGAAAATTAAATAAAATGAAAAGATATCCATATTAAGATCATTGTTGTGGAATTAGTTATTAATTAGGTTGATTAATTATAGTTTGACAAAGACTACAAAATAGTTCAGATTCAGCCAACTAGTTTGGTAGCTCAGAATGGACACATGGTCCTCAAGTCACCATCATTCCATGCTGCAACATTCATTAGATAGCTTTTTGCACCTTTTATAATAAAAGGATGAAAGTGAAGGTATTTCTTAATATAGTGGTGGAAATGTAAAGCTTAAGAATGTCTAAAGAGCTTAACTGTGTGTTGCTTGTAAAATTATACCTGTGAGGAAAGAAAGGTCTGTCAAAGAAAGGCATTAGTTGTGCTCTTGGGATCATTTCCTTTCTCATCATCCGAATCTCTTCTTCTTCTATAATCTGAATCAGTTCATGATGTCCATGAGATTGTATATATTCATAATTTTTCTATTATGTTGTGGGAAGCATGTCATTATTAAAGCTTACCTTCAGCAATTTTTGTTCCAGTTGCCTCTGCATTTCTAGTTGACTTATCTTACTTGCAATCTGTGAATTTAAGAGAAAATTTTCTTAAACACTTGATAGGGAAAAACTATTATGCTTGGAAGAAATCTTTCACGCCATGGAAGCAAAAATAAATTGTCGGTACTTACAAAATAATTGAATTCTGCACGCTTGGCTGCTCTTTCTTGGGTGTGGAGCTTGATTTCCAATGGCCTTGTTTGTTCTTTGGCAGAAATTTTGTTGGAAGCCTACAAATGGGCGTAATCCATTTTGGATTATAGAACAAAGTGGGGAGAGAGAGAGAGAGAGAGAGAGAGAGAGAGAGAGACCTTTGATTTATCATACAATCGCTCTTGCAGTTGTCCTTTGGGCTGTGGAAAATTAAATTCAAAGGGAATGATCAAAAGAATCAACACGTAAAAACACTTCTATGGTGACTGAGTATCTTACCTCACTCTGAAGTCTAGCAGGCTGTTGAGATTGGCTGCATCTCACTGCTCCTCTCACACTGGAAGACATAGTAGAACTAGGACTAGGCTTCATGAACTTGAACCGGAAATTAAAAGGAAAAACAAAATCTTCACTATATTATCATTGAGTTGGAAGGAAAACAAATAAATGAAAAAAAAAATCTCAAAAATTAACTAGGAGTAGTTCTCAATTATTGCTGCCTAGCTTAGTTCTGCTTAACAAGCCGAATCACATTTTTTTTTAGTTCGAATCACATCTAAACTTTATATCATATTTTCTTATTACAAATTTCTCAAATATATATTGATCTTCTAATGTAGGTCTCAAAATCATAGACTTTTTCCCTCCATGAAAAAAAAAAAAACATGGATTTTTCTGGATAGGCACTTTTTGGGCCTCAATGACCCTAATATTATATCTGGGCTAAGTCTAATAAGCCCAATGCTCCAAGATGACGAGCCTGGATTTGCTGACCACAACACGTTACTGGTCACGTTCACCCAACCACACATATGGAACATCGAATGTGTTGTGGTCACCGAAAATCTCAACGTGTGGCTGGATGAGTGTGGCCAGCAGATCTGAACTCCTCCAAAACCTCCCTCTTGACTTAGATTTGGCTTGTCAGAGGTCCTAGGTCCACAGACCTAAACCGAAATAATAGGACATGCATCCCTACAAGACAGCACCCTCTAGTTATAGTGGCTTGCTGATAATCCTCCCACCAGCGCAACAAAATGTCAAAAACGTGTACTAGTTTTGAACAAGTACAGAAGGATTGAAGTCCTAACCTTTGGTGAAGAAGAACTGCTAGGGTTTTCCATGGTGCCCTGATGACAAAACCCCGCACTAAACAAGATATAAAGAAGAGAAGGGGGAGAGATGGGGAGTTGGTCTCTGTGGATTGGTAAACGATGATTGGTTTTGTTTCTGACTTTCTGTTGCTACATCAAATAGCTTTCATATGGCGGGCTCTTTATTCTCTCTGGTTCAGCAATCCTTGTAACTCAAACTTTCTGATCTAATCTCCTTTCTCATGCACTTTAATGTTGCTGGGAGTCTGTTTGTGGGTTCAATCAGGCGAAAAGTCTCCACTATCGTATTAACGATTCAAAGGGTCGTGTCAACTATCCATCCTTGTCCCTATCCAATTGAGTAATGAAATAATCCAAAAAACGGTTTGGTAAGCCAAAGGTTGTTCAAAGCCCATTTTCAAGTATTTTCTTTGTTTTGTCCGTTTTATCTAAAAAAGAACTAACAATTTAATGAAATTGGAAGGTGATTTCGTGTAATGCAGTTGTGACCCAAAGCTTGCTTTGTTTGGAATATTGACCGACTTCTCAGATGATGCTTGTAAGTTAGAAGAATTAGAATACACCCAAAATTTGGTTATGGTTATTGGTTAGTACTACACTTAGGCTGTATTTGGTTTGAGGGAAAAAGTAGGGAAAAAAAGGGAACTGTAGGAAAATTTTTACAAACCTTATATAGAGTTTCCTATGTTTCTCTTTCTTTTCCTACCTTTTTCTTCAAACCAAACATAGCCTTAGAGATATCTCATGTATTCCCAAGTTCTTTTGAGCTGATCCAGTCAACAAAGAGAGCGCAGAAAGGAATTATACTTTCACTTTTAATAATTGTAATTGGATTTTCATATACATTTTAGCAAATTTCATTTGCAATAATTAAGTATGCAAGTTCAGGGAAGCGCCTTCTAACTTCTCCATTTTGAGTCCGAAGGAGCTGCACTTGATGGCTGTGTTTAAGGCTGTTTTAGCCAATACTAATGTCCCATGCTAGCCATTAAGTGTATATGCTCCACAATCACTAAATTCTCACTTCATGTGTATGGCTGACATGGAGCGCTTTTATTGGTAAAACAGCCCTTAACACAGCTATGGCTGCAATTGCATTTGAATTCTATTTGATTTGATTATTGAAAATCAAATTCCGAATCTCATTGGAAAATCCAAAATATTGGAAACGGATATACATATATACATTTATTAGATTAAAAAGGACATGAGTCGAAGTGATTAAAAATTTTTTATAATCATTTCCTTAAAAAATGGTTAAAAATAATTTAAATGCCTATAATTTAACAATGAATATGATATTAAATAGAACGGAATTGTGAAACAGGATTCATGCTGCCAATCCCATATAGTTGGGATAAGGCTTGGACAATGATGACAATTTTAGTTGTTTTCCATAAGGCCCATCTTTTGGTTCTTGGGTTGTTCATACCAGTGTTTAAAAACCGGTTCAGAGGTTAACCATTTTTATCTCCCAATCACGGGTCAACAGTTCAACCATGACACATCATCACTATATATATATATACATATTTATGTGCAATTATATTGAATAAATAACATATAATTATATTTTTATTTTTTATAAATAAAAATGTTAAAAGTTGAATTTTGAGGCTAAAATTGGTGTTTCTTAGAAAAAATAACAGGACAGGCACCTTTGTCACATTGGAACAAATAGCTCTTGAAAAGTTACCTAAAATCAAAAGGAAAAGGTCACCCCAATTGAATAATTGTGAACAAAGTTATGGCCTCTATAAGTTTACATATACATGCCACTTGTAACCCGTGACCTGATGAATGGATCAGTTAGGTCAATAGTTCAACTCAGCGGTTTTTGGTCAAATACTGGGTTTTAGGAAAAACTGAACCTGAAAATAGAGTTGGGTCACAATTTAAACGTTTCAACCATCCGGATCAACAGTGGATTGAAAACATTGATCGATATCGCATCACCTATAGGGACAAACTAGGGAAATATGTGCACTGAAATATTGATTTATGACTATAAGATGTTTCATGACTACCCAATCAATGGGCCCAATTGGACCATATCTCTATATCTCTATTTCCAATTGGAGGTATGGTTAAGCACTCAAACTCCCTTCTCAAAGTCTGTCTTCCCTGGCTACCTTATGCTTTAGGCCAGCCCAAAGTTATGAACATGTATCATACTACCTATTGGGGTTACACTTTGGGTTCATGCTCAAATTTTAGGGTCATCAGTTTGGTTTGCAATTGGAAACAGAATCTAAATTCAACGGAATTGGAATGGTCTACTCCCCACCCCACCTTTTTGGTTTAAACAGGAATTGAAATCAGAATCAGAATCATGATTCTCATTCTCAAAAGAGGGGGAGGGAATGACCATTTCTTCAAATGGGGGAATTCCATTCCAGCAGCAATGAAAATTTTATTCTGATTATATTGATTCCAATTCCAGACCCATATTCCTACAAACCTAATGGAACCGTAGATTTCTTAAGCTATTGAGCCATTTTAGGCAGATATCATACTTTTTTCATCACAGAAATTACCTAGTTTGGTAGAGAATAAGAGAGAACCAGAAGATTAAGAGAAGTTTTAAAGGATGTTTTCTGAAGTTTGTCTTTCTCCAAACACAGTCTTAGATTTGTGGTATGAAATTTGATACAAAATCCAAAATATTGGACTTTGGATTGCATTGGAATTTATTCTATATCCTTTTTATTATTTTTAAAATAAAGAAAAATTAAAAAGTAAAAAGAAAAACTATTTTAATTTCAACATATTAATATATAACAAATTTACATATAATATAATTTTAATCGGGCTTAATTAAGATCTTAATTGGATTGGATGTTAAGACATCTGCAGAGTGGAGTCCATTCATAACTGAACCCTACGTAGCTACAAGCTACAAACCTTATCAATGGTCTTTGTTACAAATTAACTATAATTTCTGCTTGGAAAATGAATCTGTTTGTGGTTTTAATTGGGCACAAAAGCCTCCACTAATCATAGCAACGAATCAAACAGTTGGGTCAGCTATCGACCATTGTCTGTTTCCAAGTCTGAGAATGAAATTCAAAAAGGTCTCCTAACCCAACGGTTGTTCAGAGCTCATTTTCAAGTGGTTTTTAGTCTCATCCGTTATCTAACAAAGAATTGACCATTTAGAGGAACTGAAAGGCACCCTTCATATGGCAAGGAGCCATAATCTTAGTCGGGTGGACCTAATTGTTAGATGCTTGTAGTTGAAGTTAGCATAAAATGAAGATAATTGGACCCTTGAAATATGATATTAATTTATGAGTGGAAAGTGCTAATAGCTAGGTTTTAAAGTATTGGAAAGACTATTATTTAAAGATACTGTTGGAAATGTTTGGTATGGTTTTATGCTTTATTGTTGAAATTCATATAAATTTGTAAATGCGTTAATAATAATAAATCTAATGTTAAATAAAATTACTAATTAAATGAGAAATAAATACATATTTTGTTGATTTATATAAAGTATGAATTATAAGAATGCATTAAAAATTTATGAAATGGCAAAACAGGATTCATGTAGCAGACCCCATTGGGACAAGACTTAGATGATGATGATGATGAAACTATGAAAATACATGTGGGAAATATTGGAAAATGATGAAAAAAATTAAGATATGCACGAATGTGTTTAAGAAGCCAATATAAATCTCCTGAACACTTTAAAATACGAATTTTGATGATCAGTTTGTTTTCTTCTTTAATTTCTTTATCTTTTTTTTTTTTAATTTTTGTATCAACTTTCTGATTCATCAATTCAGAATTTCAGACCAATGCAATACGATACAGAACAATATGAACCGCCACCCGGTGTCCTTATTTCCATTAAACACTTATTCGTACTACCATATGCTATATGCTACATCTAGCTAGATAAAAATTTATCAAATTTCTCTAAATATGATGCTGTGAATAGGGCTGGCTATTCTGTTCATGAGTGACAATGTTTTCTTTCTGTTCCATAGGGTGGTTATTCATGCTCTGTGCTCTGTGGTTAATCAATCCACCTTGAAATTAAATTAAGCTAATTAATGCTTTTCCATCAAATATCCGGCGCTATCGTCATAAACTAAAGCTAAAGGCTAAAGCCGCTTGGAATCTGTTAATGGGTGGAATTTAGACTAAAATAGTAATGAATCAAAGGGTAGGGTAGAGTAGGGTCAGCTAACCACCATTATCCTTTTCCAAAGTCAAGAATGAAATCTAACAAATCCTTAATTAAATTAACCCAATGGTTGTTCAGAGACAATTTTCCAAGTGGTTTCCTGTCTCATCCGTTATCTAACAAAGAATTGACCATTTATGGGAATTGAAAGGTGTCCCTATCTCTACTCAGCTTCTGATTAGAATATTGACCTACTTGTTAGTTGCTTGTAGTTGAAGTTATGGCACTAGTTGAGGATAGGAACCACTCTTCAAATGGAATTTTAATAAAAGTTAAGGCGGCGGTTCCTCCCCTGAGAGCAAGAGAATGACCGATCAGTCTAGAATTTGTAGGTTCAAATTACAGTTAGAATGGATTTCAGTTTAAAATTAATGCTAATTTACGGGCGGGCATTAATATATAGAGTGAGGGTTTTTGATCTTTTGAATATTTATAACTCTACAATAAAAATAAAAAATTTGCATTGGGTCTATACATATTCCTTTGTTTAAAATATTAAAAAAAAGTAATTTTAGGCTGTTTTTAGCATTTCTCATTTTAAAGATTTATCTCGTTTTTTAAGTTAAAAACTCAATATTCATAAAGGCATTTTAAATGCAAAAAAAAAAGTCCTCAAAATAAGAAATGTCAAATGCAGCCTTAATATATATAATAAAATGCCTTTAAAAGATGCTCAGGTACATAGGATTGACATCAAGATATGCATGAATTTTCTTTCCAGGAAAATCAATATAAATGTCATGAATGTTTAGAAAAATACTGACTTTGAATAATTATTTTTTGTTCCTTTAGTTTATCTTTATTCTGTGTAATTTTCTGGTTGATATGGTCTGTTGTATATTGATCTGCATCCTCTTATACTCATCGATACTATATCAATGCAAACCCATATGGGGACTGGTACATGTGAAATTGCATATATCCCAGTGTTCAACCTGTGCCATACAGGATGGTCGTACATAGCCTGATAGACTCTCTTATAAGGATTTATCTGGGAATCCAGATTTTCTGC